TACGGTGGAGGCGCAGGTGCTGGTGGAGCTGGTGGATTTGGTGGTGGACCAGGTCGTGGAGGCGCACCAGGAGGTGGCGGTGCTCCAGGCTTTGGTGGTGGTGCAGGTGCTGGCGGAGCTGGAGGATTCGGAGGCGGCGCTGGTCGTGGAGGTGCTGGAGGTGGCGCTGGAGGTGGTTCTGGCGGTGGTGCGGGAGGAGGTGCTGGAGCTGGAGGCTACGGTGGAGGTGCAGGTGGTGCTGGAGCCGGCGGCTTCGGAGGCGGCGCTGGTCGTGGAGGCGCACCAGGAGGTGGTGGCGCACCAGGCTTTGGTGGTGGTGCAGGTGCTGGTGGAGCTGGAGGATTCGGAGGTGGCGCTGGTCGTGGAGGTGCTGGAGGTGGTGCTGGAGGAGGCGCTGGAGGTGGTGCTGGAGCTGGCGGTTATGGTGGAGGTGCAGGTGCTGGCGGAGCTGGAGGATTCGGAGGCGGGGCAGGGCGTGGTGGCGCACCAGGAGGTGGTGGTGCCTCCGGATTTGGTGGTGCTGCAGGTGGACCCGGTGGCGGCGCTGGACGTGGTGGTGCACCAGGCGGAGCGGGCGCTGGTGGAGCAGGTGGTGCTGGAGGATTTGGTGGTGGCGGCGGTCGTGGTGGTGCACCTGGCGGAGGTGGTGCTTCCGGATTCGGTGGCGGCGCTGGAGCCGGAGGCTTCGGTGGTGGTGCCGGCCGAGGTGGTGCGCCAGGAGCTGGTGGCGCAGGACGAAGTGGCAGCAGCGGCGGCGGAGCTGGTGGCCCTGGCGCACAATACATTCCACCTCTTGCTGCTGGTGGTGGACGCGGCAATGGCGAGTTTGATCCACAGACCGGGTACAGCTATTAGATCGCTTAAGATCGACAGAAAAAAACCTCAATGCAACACATTCTGCCGCTAATTACCCTTAGTTCTTTGCTCCTAAGAGCACAGGGGAGTTTCCCGCTGTCCGATGGCATTACTCTTAAAATTTCTATAAGTTTCCTGTCTTCCAAAATTAAGACTTAGTTTATAAGCTGACAAGAGATAAAAGATATTTATGGCGTATTTCAAATGTTTCTAGAATGTTTCCATTGTTAGAAGCTTCTCACTTGTTGCAAACGATTTCTAGAATAATAAATTAAATGCAAGAAATTTAAGACCTGTACTTTGTATTTAATATAAGCTATTTCTTTAGAAATTATTATTTTGATTAATTCCTTCGAGTAGTCCAATTTTCGAATCATTGATTGGTTTTCCATTTTAGAGTATAAATATATCGGCCAATATATCCCTGCAGTAACCGTACCAAAGATATCGTCCTGGTGAACCTAAATGACCGAAATGATCAAAAAATATGAATGCTTTTTCTTTCAGCCGCCCCCCCCTCAACAGCCATATCCACTCGATGGTACCTAGTTGACCCATATGTCCTTGGTTATACCACACCATTGATATCGTCCTAGTGAACCTAAAGGACCAAATCCCTGCAAAATGCGCACGGAAACGGTCCAGAAATATGTATGCTTTTTTCCTTTCAGAACCCCTTCTATATAATTGCAGCTTACCAGAATGTTGTGGCTGCTGCTAATAGCGACAGTTAAAGAATGCAAAAGAATATTTCTGCATCTCTTGGGTATGAATGAAATTTTTCATTCATACAAAATTTTAGTTCGTCTATCTGCTGTACCATTCCTCCTATGAACCTCCGAGACTAGCCCCAATCTGCCCTCTATCGGGCTTTATTTGGCCGAGATATGACCATTTAAAGTTTTCCAAAAAAATCGTGTGGTTGTGGACACGATATTCACGACATGATCTCGCCATGGTCAACGGCGAGTTATGTCGTTTTGAAGCGACATAGCTCCGCCGCTCTAAAAAAATCTTGGAGATATGACGTTTCAAAGCGACATAACTTCGCCGTCGATCTTGGCGGATCCTACGGACCTCCCCGAGTAGCCCCTCCTGTTTTGACCGTAATCGGGCTTTATTTGGCCGAGATATGACCATTTAAAGTTTTTACAAAAAATTCGATTGGTTGTGTGACATAGAAGTAACACAAAACATTGCATACTTTCGAGCTGTTCACATAAAAAAAAAGCAGAACGACATAATCTCGCCATGATCAGCGGCGAGATTATGTCGTTTTAAAGCGACATAGCTCCGCCGCTCTTAAAAAATCTTGGAGATATGACGTTTCAAAGCGACATAACTTCGCCGTTGATCATGGCGAGATTATGTCGTTTTGAAGCGACATAGCTCCGCCGCTCTAAAAAAATAATGGAGATATGACGTTTTAAAGCGACATAACTTCCCCCTTGATCTTTGCGGACTCTACGGATCTCCCCGAGTAGCCCCTCCCTTTTTGGCCGCTATCGGGCTTTATTTGGCCAAGATATAGCCATTTATAGTTTTCCAAAAAAATTCGTGTGGCCAAATGAGCCATCTGTTGTTGGGAAGTTGTAATTTTATTTAAGATCTACGCACAAGGTTATGCAATGCATTTGGTATTTTATGTATTAGACACCGCGTAAAAGTATGCAGTGCTTCAATGTTTTCAATTTAGCTTGGGTTTTAACTTTCGCCCCGAAAGTATGCAAAAAATTCTCGAGTTGAGCCGGTTAAAAAAAAAGCGGAACGACATAATGTCGCCATATCAGCGGCGAGATTATGTCGTTTTAAAGCGACATAGCTCCGCCGCTCTAAAAAAATCTTGGAGATATGACGTTTCAAAGCGACATAACTTCGCCGTTGATCATGGCGAGATTATGTCGTTTTAAAGCGACATAGCTCCGCCGCTCTAAAAAAATCATGGAGATATGACGTTTCAAAGCGACATAACTTCGCCGTTGATCATGGCGAGATTATGTCGTTTTGAAGCGACATAGCTCCGCCGCTCTAAAAAAATAATGGAGATATGACGTTTTAAAGCGACATAACTTCCCCCTTGATCTTTGCGGACTCTACGGATCTCCCCGAGTAGCCCCTCCCTTTTTGGCCGCTATCGGGCTTTATTTGGCCAAGATATAGCCATTTATAGTTTTCCAAAAAAATTCGTGTGGCCAAATGAGCCATCTGTTGTTGGGAAGTTGTAATTTTATTTAAGATCTACGCACAAGGTTATGCAATGCATTTGGTATTTTATGTATTAGACACCGCGTAAAAGTATGCAGTGCTTCAATGTTTTCAATTTAGCTTGGGTTTTAACTTTCGCCCCGAAAGTATGCAAAAAATTCTCGAGTTGAGCCGGTTAAAAAAAAAGCGGAACGACATAATGTCGCCATATCAGCGGCGAGATTATGTCGTTTTAAAGCGACATAGCTCCGCCGCTCTAAAAAAATCTTGGAGATATGACGTTTCAAAGCGACATAACTTCGCCGTTGATCATGGCGAGATTATGTCGTTTTAAAGCGACATAGCTCCGCCGCTCTAAAAAAATCTTGGAGATATGACGTTTCAAAGCGACCTAACTTCGCCGTTGATCATGGCGAGATTATGTCGTTTTGAAGCGACATAGGTCCGCCGCTCTAAAAAAATCTTGGAGATATGACGTTTCAAAGCGACATAGCTTCGCCGTTGATCATGGCGAGATTATGTCGTTTTGAAGCGACATAGCTCCGCCGCTCTAAAAAAATCATGGAGATATGACGTTTCAAAGCGACATAACTTCCCCCTTGATCTTTGCGGACTCTACGGATCTCCCCGAGTAGCCCCTCCCTTTTTGGCCGCTATCGGGCTTTATTTGGCCAAGATATAGCCATTTATAGTTTTCCAAAAAAATTCGTGTGGCCAAATGAGCCATCTGTTGTTGGGAAGTTGTAATTTTATTTAAGATCTACGCACAAGGTTATGCAATGCATTTGGTATTTTATGTATTAGACACCGCGTAAAAGTATGCAGTGCTTCAATGTTTTCAATTTAGCTTGGGTTTTAACTTTCGCCCCGAAAGTATGCAAAAAATTCTCGAGTTGAGCCGGTTAAAAAAAAAGCGGAACGACATAATGTCGCCATATCAGCGGCGAGATTATGTCGTTTTAAAGCGACATAGCTCCGCCGCTCTAAAAAAATCTTGGAGATATGACGTTTCAAAGCGACCTAACTTCGCCGTTGATCATGGCGAGATTATGTCGTTTTGAAGCGACATAGGTCCGCCGCTCTAAAAAAATCTTGGAGATATGACGTTTCAAAGCGACATAGCTTCGCCGTTGATCATGGCGAGATTATGTCGTTTTGAAGCGACATAGGTCCGCCGCTCTAAAAAAATCTTGGAGATATGACGTTTCAAAGCGACATAGCTTCGCCGTTGATCATGGCGAGATTATGTCGTTTTGAAGCGACATAGCTCCGCCGCTCTAAAAAAATCATGGAGATATGACGTTTCAAAGCGACATAACTTCCCCGTCGATCTTGGCGGATCCTACGGATCTCCCCGAGTAGCCCCTCCCTTTTTGGCCGCTATCGGGCTTTATTTGGCCAAGATATAGCCATTTAAAGTTTTCCAATAAAAATTCGTGTGGCCAATGAGCCGTCTGCTGTTGGGAAGTTGTAATTTTATTTAAGATCTACGCACAAGGTTATGCAATACATTTGGTATATTATGTATTAGACACCGCGTAAAAGTCTGCAGTGCTTCAATGTTTTCAATTTAGCTTGGGTTTTAACTTTCGCCCCGAAAGTATGTAAGAGATTCTCGAGTTGAGCCGGTTAGTCGCAGCATTAAGGTATGCTATTAATTGTAGACTTCCTAATACAAACAGTAGAGGGCGCTTCCCTTATAAAATGGAATATTGACAATAGATGGTGATTACTAACTAAAAGTAAAAGAAGCTTCAAATTTTGAACAAAAGGGAGCGTTTTGATAGAAAATACGATCCTCTTTTAATTTTCGTGAACTATGTTTGCGCAAAAAATTCCTCTAAAAATTGTCCGATTTTTTTTTTGATATACCTTTTTTGAACTGTGGCAACATAATTTTGGTATAAAAGTAAGCCTCTTTTGTGATCTAATAGAAAATGTTTTTGGATTTTATGGGCGCATGTATTTCACGCGTTTGAATGCGACTAAATCGACTAATTCGCAAATATATATATATATTATATATAGCTGAAATAGAATTGGATTGTGCTGCTCATAGCTTGGATGACTTCTTGAAGCGTCTATTATACTGCTGATTATAGCCATAGGGGTCCACCAGCTGGTTGGGTCTGCCCCGCAATTGTTGTGTGATCAGCGCCTGTTGCTGCTGCTCGTTGCGTTGATCCTTTTGCTGCTGTTGCTGCTGCTGTTGTTGTTGCTGTTGCTGCTGTTGCTGCTGCTGCTGGTTGAGATTCTGCTGCGGCTGTTGTTGCTGTTGCTGTGGATTTAGATTTAGATTTAGATTGCTGCCCAGTTGTTGGCCAAATTGACCCGCATACTGGGCCGGCAAGTTGCCCGAGTTGAGCGTGTTGAAGGGCTGCTCCGGCTGATATTGTCCGGTGTTTTGGAAATTGCGCTGCTGCAACTGTTGCTGCTGTTGTTGCAATTGTTGCTGCTGTTGCTGCTGCTGCGGCGTCAGTTGCTGTCCGGGCGCCGGCCGAAATCCAGTCGTAGACGATGGCAGCTGTCTGTAGGGCGTCTGATAGGGATTCAGATTGGGATTCAGCACGCCCTGCTGATACGGCTGTGCGCCCACAAAGTATGAAGGCGTGGCCGGAATGCCGGTGCCCTCGGCACGAAACCCATTCTCATCCGCGATGTAGCGCACGGTTATGGGCGTGCCCTCCGGCGAGGTATACGAATAGGAGCCCTGTATGACCTGTTCGGAAATAAAATAAGTAGCAAATCTTTAAATGAAGTAAGGGAAATATGGCTCACCTGCGCTTCGACGCCCTCGCCGTAGCCGAGATTCTTGACATAGCCCTGCGCCTGGGCGGTGGTGCCATCGGCGGCGGCATAGCCGTACGAGAAGCTGCCATCCAGATTCAGTTCGTTCTGATACGCGGTGATGGGCACATAATTCCCCTGCTGCTGCTGCTGCTGCTGGTATTGATTGTAGCGCGCGTAGGGATTAGGCACTCCGGCCGCCAGCGGCGCAATGGCCGGAGTCAAAGGATTTAGCGGGTTGAGTGGATTCAGCGGATTGCCCTGTGCCGGAAACAGACCCTGGCCGGACACCTGCTGTCGCTGGCGCTGCTGGAAGGGCAGCTGCTGCTGCTGCAGCGGCTGCTGCGGCTGGAAGGGTGACTGCTGGAAGGGAGCGCCGGGCAACTGGGCGCGACCGGCGGCAATTAGCGCCAGCCACAGCACGGAAAACACAAAGCACTGCGAATGGAAACATGGACTTGTTTAGCCGATGAGAGGGGGCGAGGGAGGTGGGGTGGGGAGGGGGCTGATGGAGTTTAGCTTTACCCGCATTTAAGCTGTCGACGCTGTCATAAATCTCAGGAAAAACGCTTAACAAATTACACGCTCGATAAATCTGACGTTTCACTTGGGAGGGGGAGCGGGTATCGAGTATCGATGCTGCTGCTGCTGCCACTTGAACTAGCCGAAAGCGTTGCAACGACTGCGACTGCAGCTGCGCGGGCCAGTTCTATTTATACGACCAAATTTCACAGCCAGCCAAGCTCAACCAGCCCCGGCGTGGGCCCTAAAGCGCAGCTCGATCATAAGAATCGCCGGGCGCCCAGCGGCAACGCTTCCTGTCTTCCACTCGCTGGCATCTGGGCAGTTGGGCAGCTGGGCAGCTAGCTGCCATATCTGACCAACTGCGCTGGCTTGATCTTGATTTTGATCTTGCTATGCCCTACCCTGAAAATGGCTACAAAACGGGTATATTGCATGTGTGTAGAAGGCATGCAACAGGCAGAATTTGTTCATGGAATATTTTATCTTAGACTTTGTCCATTTGACAAGGCGTGACTTCAGTATTTACCCTACCTGTCATTGATGGTACTCTATTAGCCCTTAAATCGAAGACTTTTATTCTCGATAGTCTCAACTTGAACTTATCGATAAGCCGTTAAATTGATAGTTATCGATATTCAATTTCGATATTGAGATTACATTTATTAAGGTCTTTAGTATGAGAACGAGATAGGCGAATGAATTTATAATAAACAATTTATTTTGTATGCGACTGAACTTGTTTTTATCGATAGGCCGTTAAATCGATATTCATCGATATTTAACTTGGATATTGAGATTACTTTAAGTGTATAGCGGCAAGAATATTTTCCCCAATATATTATTCATCGTTAAGCTCTTTAGATGCAGAACGCAGAAGTTATTCGTAACTATTTTGGAGGCACACAGGGTATCTGGTAGTCGGGTGCCCTAATTGTGACCTGCTGTTGCTGCTGCTTCTGCTGCTGATGATGGGGGCTGTAATTTATCTACATGCGAATCGTGTTAACAGCAGTTGCTGCTGACGGTTGCTGGTTGGCAGCTTTATTGGTTTTTTATTGGCCATTGACAGAAGGACAAACAAATTTCCAAGCGAAGTTCGAGTTTTTCCGCAACATGTGTGGCTATATTTATGATGTTGCATCTAGAAGATGCATGCCCCATGCCAGCGATACATTGCCGTATGCAAATGCATAGCTTTTTTGTTTTTTTTTGTTTTGTGTTTTGTTCTCTTCATCGATTCGCTTCTTTTGTTCTTAAGGTGTTTATGTGAGTTATGTGCTGACGGGTTTTTACTGCTCTCGATCGCATCGCATCGCATCTCGGCTTGGCTTGGCTTTTGGGTTTGTGGGGCTGACTTGGCGTATACGCAACTTTTACTCAATGGTCAAGGTTGAGTTGGAGTCAGATAAAAAAAAAAAAAAAACATAAACACAATTGAAGATATTACTCAGACATTTTTATCTAGCCAGGAGGCAGTCTCGCAGATAGAGCCTGTGAATTCTGGCTCTCTACTCCACTTGGAGACGTTCCATTGTTTCTCTGCGAGCATTTGTCATTTATCATTTATCATTCCTCAGTGTTCGTCATGGCAAGGCGTTGGTTGGCCCGATCTGTTCAGTTATGATTGTCATAAGTCATTTATAACTTTGTAACTAACCGCCGTGCCCTAACTGCTCGCGACTTAATGCGATTTTTACATTTTAAATGCGTTCTCGGTTGCAATTATTATAATTTTTGTTGTTGTTGTTTTTGTTATTTTTTAAACATATCTCGTTTCATGTTCTGCTCACTGCCTAATTGAATATGTAATTTTTTATGGGGCTTTTCAATCTGTACGCCTTTTTGGAGAAGGTCAGAGCTACTGTTGCGAATGGACATGCCCTGAAAATGACACACACAACGCCGCCTTAAACTGTAGGAGGCTAAGAGAAATATATTGAATATCAAATTGAACTCTATTAATTAGTTTGTGATTAATTTAATATTAAGATGTAGTTTTGTGTTTATTCTGAGCATTATTTACTGCATTTTGCCCATTGAGTCATGCTTCATTTTTTACTGCTCGCATTTTTTTGCAGCCGCCTGAAAGTATGCTGCATCTAAATTGAATTACACAGTTGACTTGGACAGGCTGCAAACACTTTTGAATGCGCTACACAGCAAACTTAGCAGCTGGATATATGCAAATATTATATTGTTAAGCTAACTGTAAATGGCTACACATAAAAAAAAGGAATCTTTTTAAGCTTATATATATAATTTTTTCAGTTTTAAATGTTTTAAATTCGTTTTGCTGCGCATGCCTTATTTGTGAACTTTCCAACACTGAAATATGCCTTGTTCAACTTTGAAATGTAAGCATTGCGTTTAGTAAAAATTAATATAAATTTAAATTTGATAATATATATATATTTTCTATTTAAATTTATATATATTTTATTTTATGCTAGGTCTTAATTTCGTTTTGCTGCTCATGCTTTTCTTGTGTATTTTTCAACACTGAACTTTTTTAAGTGTAACCATTAAACTTTAATTTAGCTTTTGAGGTGTAGTTAAATTTAATAATAATTATATTATTATGTTTTATAATTTGTTGTTTTCCAAAAGCTGGAAATATACACCTTAGCTGATTGCTATGCAAGCACAGATTACAATTTGAAGACCTTTATTTATATCTATAATATCTTATATCTATATTACGTATACAAATATCTATAGGTTGGTTATGAATACTTAAGACCTGTTTCCCATTTTGCAATATTTATGTTCAAGTTGGGAAAATACATGAGATCCCGAGATTCTCTAGAAACAATACGTAGTCAGAGATAAAAATGTGGTGCACACAAAGCTAATGCAAAAATGCAGAAAACAAAACAAAATACATAATAAAAAAAAAAAACAAAAAGAAAAGAAACGCAACATAATAGAAATCAAGAATAGCTTGGGAACTAACATACCATTCGAACCGGAGCCAAAGCTGAAGCCGGAGCGTGCACTCGATGTTATTATTAATGGATATTATTGGTCATAAAGCTGAAGTGGAGGCAATTGACATTTGGACGCAGCTGCTAATTGATTAAAGCTGCAACCGATATGAGCTCTCCGATCAGTGCGTATATAACATATATCCGGCTCCGCTCACTTCATCTTCATCTTCATCGTCATCTTCATCTGCATCTGCATCTGCATCAGCAGCTCGGTAAAGGTTAATGTGTCGCACCTGAGTTATGCACTCGTTGGCATTGTAAACTCAAAACAAAACTCATTAATGTGTTTCCATTTTCTATCAATCGTAACGGAGAGCCAGACTAGTTTTGGAATCGTCTTAGAATCAATTTATAGATACGTCTTGGAGCTGCAGCCCGAGCCTGTCTTTGATATTATTTTTGTTGATTTTTTCATTTTGTTTTTTTCTATTTAAACTGGGCGTGTTGCGCTTAACGCCCATTTTGCGCCAAGGCAAATGCCAACACCGAATCAGAGCGAAGTATGTTGCGAAGACACGACTGCGAGATGCCCTGTAGATAGTTGACAGCTAGAAAAGATTGATTGATTTGATTAGAATAAGTATTTTAAGTATTTAAGTATTATATATAATTATTCTAATGAGGAGCCGGGCTCTTATCCGTTAAGTTTTATTTATAAAATATAAGGAAAAGTGATCTCAAATCAATCGCAAATCTGATCAAAAACTTAATGTTCACAGATTTATTTTCTTTCCGCTTATAGCCTACCTCTGAAGAGGGTTATTTATTGTATATGCAATTTAATGGCAACTAGCTCAGGCACTTCTTTATATTGTAATAGTATGATTTTCTTCGTTGATTTAACTTATGTTCGGGTTGCCTTTTTATTTTTAACAACACGTCTTCTTACTGCTAGTACTGTAGAGAGACTGCCTTCCACTTCTTCTCTGCAGCCGCTTTTCTTTATCGATATTTACTTATCGTACTGTTATAATTAACATAGATAGTGACACTATAATACCCTGGCTAGGGTTACCAATGATGCTCTTATCCTATTACAACTCGGCCATCCTGACAAAGAGAGCTCCCGATCTCTGTCTTTTATATGTGTATCTATCTTTATAACTAATGCTTATTGCCTATTTTCGCATCCAATGCTTAAAGTTTTGGCTATTCCAGATACCAACGTACGGGTTGCGAGATAATTGAAAGCCTTCTACATCCTTTAACAAGTATCTATCATTTTTTAAAATCTTTTCTATACTATAAGGCCCTTTATATCTTGGTATTAACTTTTTTGAAACTCCTGGTGTGCTATCAAAATTTTTTACCATGACATAGTCACCTATTTTATATTCTACTGATACTTTCTTCTTTTTATTAATCCGCTCTTCATTTCTGATTTGAGCTTCTTTTTGATATATTTCTCCACTCTTTCTTATATTTTCTAAATTTCTTTTATCACACGTGTTCACCTGTGTAAACTCTTCTAATTTTTCTTTTAATTCATCAACAACTTTTCCTTTCTGTTGTAATCCGAATAACATTTCGCTTGGAAATTTCTTTATGCTTTTGTGTTGTGTGTTGTTTATTGCATATTCAACATTTTCTATAATAACATCCCAATGTAAACCATTTTCTGGCTCCGCCATTTTTGCCATCATCGGACCCAAGTCTCTATTCAACCTTTCCACCTGACCATTTGCTTGCGGACAACCCGTTGCTATTTTAATATGCGTTACTCCCTCATTTTTTAAAAATTCATCAAACTCTTTTGCAGTAAAACAACTCCCTCTGTCCGATACAATGAACTTAGGTCTACTATACGCTCTGAAATAATCTTTTAATGCCTTAATCGCTTCTTTCGTACTTGTTGTCTTTGCTGTATATAGTCTAACAAATTTTGAAAATCCGTCAACCACCGCCAATATATATTTATTAGCCCTTCCTGCATTAATTGGTCCATAATGGTCTATATGGATCATCTCCCACGGTTTGTTTCCTTTCGGTATGCTATGTAATAGTCCTTCACTCTTACCCGTCTTGGGGGCGAAGGCAATGCATTTTAAACAATTCCCTATATGCTTTATTGCTTTTTCCTTAATATATGGGAACCAGTAACTCTTTCCAATGGCATCGATCATCTTATCTCTCCCAGCATGTCCCAACTCATCATGATATTTGTAAAGTACATGTTCTTCCATATCCTTTGGTACATAAAAAACTAATCTGCCATCATTTGTTTTTCTGTAAATGACCCCATTTCTCATTTCGAATAGCTTGTGCTCTTCTTTTTCTAACATCTTTCTAATATCTACCAGTTTGTCATCTTTGCTTTGGCAAATAACTAAATTGTCCTCAAAACTATTGGATTCAATAACTAAAATGTCCTCATAACATCTGCTTAACGCATCCACATGTTGCATTTGCTTGCCCGATCTATGCACTAACTCAAAATCGTAATTTTGTAGTTCTAACGCCCATCTAGCAATTCTCGGATTTAAATCTATTTTGTTAAGCGTTAAAGTTAAAGAGTTGCAATCTGTCATTATTTTAAATCGTTTTCCCTGCAGATATATACGAAATCTGCGTAATGCGTAAATGATGGCTAGCGTTTCTAACTCAAAACTATGATATTTAGACTCTACTTCGGTTGTTCTTTTAGAAAAATAAAAAATCGGGTGTAATTTCCTATCTTCTTTTTTTTGAAATAAAACAGCCCCAAATCCCACTGCGCTGGCATCACAATGTAGTTCTATTTCTTCTTTGTAATTATATATTGATAGTACTGGCGCCTCTAACAATTTATCTTTTAACATATTAAAACACTTAAACTCCTCTTCTCCAAACTTGAATTTCTTATCTTTTTTCAATAAATCATATAAGGGTTTAGCTAATATAGAAAAGTTTAAAATGAACCTCCTGAAGTAGGAGCATAACCCTAGGAAACTTTGTACTCCCTGAATTTTGTTTGGTATTGGAAAGGATTTAACCGCTTCTAACCCTTTTTCATCAGCCCTAACGCCTTTACTATCCACCACAAATCCTAAATATTTAACGCTGCTTTTAAAAAATTCACACTTATCTAATTTCAACTCTAATTTGTTTTGCACCAGTCTTATAAACACTTCCTTTAAGGTCTCCATGTGTTCCTTTATGTTTGTACTTGCTATCATAATATCATCCATGTAAACAATTACCTTATTATCTTTTATCATATCACAAAATATGTTATTAACAAATCTTTGAAATACATGTGGCGCAGTTTTTAAACCCATGGGCATCCTAAGAAATTCATATTGTCCTAAAGGGGTAACAAATGAAGTGTATTTAATAGATTGCTCATTAACAAAAACATGAAAATACCCGTTTTTTAGATCCAACTTTGAAAATACTGTTTTTCCGCATAGTCTGTCTAATAAATCGTCGATCAATGGTAGCGGGTAGTTGTCTCTACATATAATTTTGTTCAGTCTTCTAAAATCAATACATAACCTCATGTCTCCAGTTTTTTTCTTCACTAGTACTATAGGTGATGCATACTCTGAACAACTTGGCCTAATGATTCCATCTTTTAAATAGTCGTCTAATAATTCTTGCAACTTTTCTTTTTCCATATAAGATAACCGCCTAGGTGTACAATTAAATACTTTGTCGTTTTCTAATCTTATGCTTAACTCATGTCTTAATTTTGGCTGATTTGGCCTTTTCGCTTTTACATAAGTATTTTCAAATAAATTTTCAAATTCACACTTTGTGCTGTAATCAATATCTTCACTTAAAATATATATATTTTCTCTTTTGTTAGAATCTTCCCAACTTATTGTTAAGATATCCTTCTCAAAATTCTCTTCTAACACTCCCATGATTTCGCTATTCACTGGCGCTTCATTAACATGATTATTAATTTTAACTGCACTGTTTCCTATATCTTCTATAATCACTTTTTCAATCCCGGTTTGATTATAGATAATTTCATCACTAACAACTTCTTCACTATCAGGTTCGAGCTTAAGCTCTCCATAACTAACTATCTCATCACTAACAGTTTCGATCCCAATCACTTCATTTCTAACTATTTCACCACTAATTATTTTATTTCTAACTATCTCATCACTACCAACTTTATCACCAAGCGTTTCCGGACTAACAATTTTCTCACTAACTAATTCATCACTACCAGTTTCATTACTGACTATTTCCTTATTAACGATTTTATCATTTAACAATATAGTTTCATTTTGCTCGTGTTTGATATCTTCATCGTCCACTTTTTTTTGTTTTTCTTTGTAGCTTGTAGCTATGATATCATTTTTACCATTATTCTGGTGATCAACTTTATGCCCGTTCACAATTTTTAATGTTCTTAAATCAATATTTAAACCAAAAGAATCCATAAAATCTCTACCAAGCACAGCGTCATACCTCATAGACTCATTTGCCACAATTATAACATTAAAATAAACATTTATTAACTTTTTCTTCATAAAACATAAAATTTTTCCAAAATTTTTCAATTTACTTTCATTTAAACCTACATACGAATTTGCATCTGGCATACGCTTTACTTTTAATGGCACAAACTTTTCCTTTAAAAATGAAATAGGGCTGCCAGAGTCTATAAGGCATTCTGCAATTATTGATTTGTTAAATGAGTTACTAAAATGAATTCTTAAGTATCTTACATATTTGTTTTCCATATCATACTTTTTATTTGGACATCCTGCTATTAAATGATCCTTTGAGCCGCACGCATAGCAAGATCCTGCCTCCCGTTTGGGCTTTAAACAATCTTTGGCCCAATGGCCCTTAACATTGCAATTGTAGCAACGTTGTTGTTTGTCCGCCTGTGCTTCCTGTGCAGTTTGTTTCACTACATGGTTTCGTACCCGTTTAATTGGCAACTTTATAGCTGCAAACGCACGTAAAATTTGAGCCGGATTGGTAAAGCAATGCATACTAGCTTGAGTGCGCAAGTTTTCGCAAGGTATGCCTCGAATAATACCCTCCATTAACTCCTCTACATCAATGTTGATGTCCTGTGCCAATATGCTTTTTTCGCTAAAATATGTGGCGAACACCTCATCTGGTTTCCAAACCCGATCCTCGAACTTCTGTCGTAGTTCCGACTTCGAAAATCCTCCCCCGAAGGCCAAAACCAATTGATTTAGCATCTCGTCAATCGGAGCAATGATGCGCATAGGGTCTGCATGCAACCACTTCAAAGCACCGCCTTTCAATTTGCTTATACAAAGCAAGTGCTGTTGCATATCATTTAGTCTGTAGATCTTGGCCACATTGAAGAATTGCATTACCCATTTACGCACCTCACTTTCTCCAGTAAATTCTAATAAAATTTCCTTGGCTAACATCATCGCTCCAGTTTGGATGCAATTATTTAAGTTGCCTCCGACAGCGTTGCCACTTTCGTCGATCCTTCCAGCTGCCCCAGCGTTGCCCGCTGCACCAGCGTGATCAGCTGCACCAGCGTTGCCATCCGTTCCAGTGTAATCAGCTGCACCAGCGTTGCCATCCGTCGACCGTGGTCTTTCTTCAGTGTGACCATCCTCTAGCTGCAATAAATCGCCGACTTCACTTTCTTGCTCTCCCCCGTCGCTCCCGCCGATGTGCGAGTTGCGGTTCACCGTTACTTGAAATTCTTCTAGGAATTTTCGAGACGCTTCAATTTCGAGACGCATCAATTTCAGCATCTCGGCGCCATTTGCTATTTCGTCACGCTGTTGTTGCATTATGTTTTGCAACTCATTTTGAGCCTCAATTGTCTGTTCCTTGTTACGTTGAACTTCAAGTTCCTTTGCAGCATCGTCTCGGATATCCACTGGTACCTTATTTAATCTCGCCATCAGCTCAGTTTTGGTACCCTCTGTTGGCAAATTTAGTAATGCCAACCAACTTTTCAATGTCGCTATTGACACGTCATTTATATTTATATTTTCCATTTTGTTGTGTTTTTTTTTTTTTTTTTCTGAGTCAATCCCACTTCTGATATTGTAATAGTATGATTTTCTTCGTTGATTTAACTTATGTTCGGGTTGCCTTTTTATTTTTAACAACACGTCTTCTTACTGCTAGTACTGTAGAGAGACTGCCTTCCACTTCTTCTCTGCAGCCGCTTTTCTTTATCGATATTTACTTATCGTACTGTTATAATTAACATAGATAGTGACACTATAATACCCTGGCTAGGGTTACCAATGATGCTCTTATCCTATTACAATATACCCTATGGACTTTTCGCATGAAGGGTATTCAGCATCGTCTTGGAGAGACTTGCCACCGCGTCAGTAACAGCCTCGGTGCCATTGTTAGATTGCGAAATTGCCAAAAATTATTATTAAATTCTTGTGGCATAAATGTTAGTCGCTTCTCAGTGCCCGTGTCCGTGTCCGCGCCCTCGCCCGTGCCCTAGCCCCTGCCCACCAACTGTAACAACTGGCAACTGGCAACGGGCTCAAATTCAAATGTGGCCGAAAAACTGTGGCGGAAAGTGAGAGACCCGGCAAATATGGCAATGGAGCGGCGTTGGAATTTGCATGGTAGTCAAGTGGAAAAGATTTTTGCCAGCTATTTTCTAAGCCAGTCAGCCGTTACACATGCAGCACCTTTCGCTTTCGGGGCATGGCCCCACAACGCCCACCCAGCTACATGTTTGTACAAGCAATTTGACAAATTTTATTAGCTGCTGCTGCACCTAACAGATACAAGATACAATCTACAAGATACATGCACCCACGTCAGCCAGTACGCATCTAGCTGATGTGTCACAGTTAACACGCAGACAATGGCCAACAGCTAAAAATGTTGCAGTCGGGTGCAAGCGACTGCCCAATACTCGTCCACAGTCCAGCTTTAAACTTGCTAACTGCTAACTGCTAACTTGCTAACTAAATATGGTATAAATATGACTTGAACAGATGACTAATAAGAAAACAACTGGTTTAATCTGAAGTCGGCTCGCGCCATTCTTTAAACAATGTGTGACCAGCTTGACTTGATTAGCAAATGCTTATGTCTAGCATATATTATAACAGCTTTCCAACACTAGTTCTACTCTGGTGCTTGGCTGTTAACGCTTATGTTAATGTTAACAGTTCACCTTAACATTTACGTTTAACACGAACTGAAAGGCAATAATAGGAAATAATAATAGGAAGCCAATATACTCTTTTGCATATCGAATCGAATAGTTACATAAGTTGGCTAGCTTAGAACTTAAAAGGCACTTTAAATTGCAAATGTGCAGCAGTTCAACGACTCGTTGCGACTCGTCTCGCAACTTTCTATTGACCCAGCCTAATCAGAGAAATGCTATAAAAACGCTGAGAACTGTTTGTGCGCGCCCAGTATTAGCATAAATTCACTAGAGCTGCCATAAAACATGTTTCGATTGGTAAGCCACAAACAACAGCGATAAATGTCCAAAAATCTCCATTGATAAACCCCTCTCCCCTCTCCCAACCCTGGACAGTGCTTACTTTGGGTGCTGTGCTGCGCCGGCAGCTGGAGCTGGAGCGCACCAGCGAGCGGCAGCGGGAGCGGCAATGAGGGGCAACAGCTGGTGCCGATCATCAAGTCGCTGGCGGAGCAAAAAAACGATGGCTCCTATTTCTTTGCCTACGAAGGCGCCGATGGCAGCTACCGTGAGGAGGTGGGCATCGTGAGGCGCACTGGTAAACATAATGATGATGATGATGATGACGATTATGACGATGCGGAGCTGGAAATCTCTGGCGTTTATCGCTATATCGACAGCCAGGGCGAGCGTGTGGAGGTCAGCTATACGGCCGACAAGAATGGCTTTGTGCCCCTAGGCACGAACATACCCAAGGAAATAACAGAGACGGCGCGTAATGCGGTCCAGTCGCTGGAGGTGCGAGCGGGCAAGAAGAGTTAAGAGTTAAGGTTATGGCTGAGGCAATTGCACAGCTATAAACTGTTATATGTTGCAGTTGCGAGTGACAAAATGAGCTGTACCAGAACAAGAAATACTACCAAATTTTATAAAAAATTACAATTTTTATATAATTTTAAGAATAATAAGAATTGTCGATATTGATATTTGTGCATTAAAAAGTACCATTTGGTACCATAAAAAAGTCCCCAGTTCCCCTTTCGGTACATTTTTACAGCTGCAGCTTTTGAATTGCTATAAACTGTTATACATTATTAGCTGGCTTGATTGGCGCACTTTGGGTAAATGTTATTTAAACAATTATCGAAAAAAAACGAGCCATAAACCAAACTATGCAAACCCGGCCAATAAATTCAAATCAGAAATCCCAGTCAGGCAGCCAGCTCAGCGACCAGCTATGCGAATGAGGAGCGCCCGCTATGTGGCTGCGACTGGCCAGCAAACATCTACAACGGCTTACAACACCTCCCGCAACAGCAGCGACAGCTACCAACACTGGCCGTAAAACAGCTCATCGTGCACACATTTAATTTGACGACGTGCATCGCCAGCTTCTCTGTTGTTTTTGTTGTTTCATTTGTTTTTGTTTTTTTTTTTTCTTTTTTATGGCTGTCAGAAATATAAATTGTTGCAATTTTTATTGGCAGCACAATTTTCAGCGCCTTAACATGGTAATTTTTTTGGGCTCGAACTCGGGCCCAGTGGCCGCCGGGCATTCGTCTGGGTTTGCCCTTTGCCAAATGTCGTCAGAGTTAACGCCAAAATAAATGAACTTTAATTAAAATTGCTGTTTATTTTATTTTTGTACTAGCAATTGTTTATTAATTATTCTACGACTTTTCTCGACCTATTGCGAAATGCTCGGCCAACTTTATATTGATAGCTTTGCAATATTTATCGTTAATTCAATTGAATATTTCAATAAGCAAGCGATAAAGTGATAAAAACCATTGGACATTGTTTATGCAGCCCATTAGAATTTTAATTTGAAACATTTATCAAGTTTCTAGCTGTAATTGCGTCGAAGATATATACCTGAGATATAAGGCAGACCTATGATAGAGAAGTATCGAAATGGAGCGTGGAAAATATGCTGTCTCTTTGGGAGGGATAAGAAGATATCATGCATAGATACCATTAGGTTCTTCAATTTTTGCATTATTATTAACATTAACTATTCTACTTCGCTTGAGAATAATCAAAAGTCAAGCACTGTCAAAAAAGTAATTTTATTTACCATTAACCACAATTCAAATGGGATTATGCCAACCTAAGCCTTAGACGAATTATATCTTTGGTATGTAGAGAATCAGAGTTACAAAAGAAACCACTGACTTTTGTTGTGTTTGAGTTAAAACATATTCAAATACCAAGCACACCTTCAAAATTGGGCTGAAACAGAAAAATGGGTGCTGACAATGCTATGGAAATGCCCAGAGCACTTTGCAAATGTTGTTGTTGTTACTGTTGTTGGTGAACTCGGGCTACTCCTCTGCTCAGTTGTCATTGTTTCGCATCTTACACGAATCACATTCAGATGGAGATACTTACTAATAAATTACGAGAAGAATTACACAAAGCGCTGACATTTTACATGCTAAATGAAAACATTTGTGGGCTTGGTGGATGCCAATGCTGAGAGGCAATTAATCGCAACACCTTGAGTGGGTGAAGCAGCCAGCAAATATACTGGCTGGCAACTGGCAATGGTAATGGCAGTCGGAAAGCCTGCTAATGGATGCACTGATTGACGCCATCAATTCAAAAGATGTACCAGATAGAGCGTGACATACAGATACAGATGCAGATACAGATACAGGTGCAGATATAGATACAGATACAGGTGCATCTACAGATTCAGATACAGATACAGATACAGACACAAATACAGATTATGATACAGATACAAATACAAAATACACAGGTACAGATACAAATATGCAGATACAAAAATAGAAACGTTAGCGTCACATTCGCGTGTGAGGATGAGTGCGGAAGTTAACGCTGCAGCGTCTCTGGAATAACTGAGTGGAATAACTGATCGACCGACCGACTAACTGACTGACTGACTGACTGACTGACTGATTGACTGATTGGCGCAGTGGTTGACACATTTCTGGCGACCCTGACATTTAGCGTGAAGTAATTTGAGCATCGTTTAAAGTTTTGGCCCGTAGCGCGTAGCCGCTGCCATAAACCGGGATGCAAACATGTTTGGCATGTTTAAGCGCATGGAGGGGCGTTGAATTATTTGATCGCAATGCCGGCCGCATATAAAAGCCAACCGGCAGAGTGCGACACACTCAAACTCTCGCTTTCAGTGCTCCAGTTCAAGTAGAAATCTCATAGAATGTTCAAGTTCGTAAGTGGCTGCCCAAAAACCCAACCCAAACAGAGAAGATTTCTTTAAATTTGGATCTTTTATAGCTGCCATTGCTCGTGTTGGGTGTCCTCGCCTCCAGCTATGCCCTGCCCGTTGCCGAAGAGAAGGAGGTTGTGGCCATTTTGAAATCGGAGGTGAACAAGAACGAGGATGGCTCATACCAGATCAACTACGAGGGCGCCGATGGCACCGAGCGCAAGGAGGAGGCCAGCGTTGTGGATGCCGGCACCGAGAACGAATCGCTGGAGGTGAAAGGTTCCTACAAGTACATCAACGATAAGGGCGAAACAGTTGAGGTATTCTACACGGCCGGCGTCAATGGATTTGTGCCATACGGCACCATAATCAATCCGGAGATCACCTCAGTCGCCGAGGCAGCCAAGGATTTGCCCAACACTCAACAAGACGATGTGAAGTCGTAAATAATATAAAAAATAGATAATAGTTGTATCTGAAGTGCCAGCGAGATGTGAATAAAAGACGATTGGAAGAGCCCAACAAAACAAATACCTTTCTTAAAACTCTCAAATCTTAGCCTCAAACAATCAGACAGTTGCGTCTGTTGCTTTGCATAATCACACACTCTGTCTCCCTCTCCCTCTCTGGAAATTAACAGAGATTATTGCTCGCAGACAAATTAGAAATTCCCGCCTCCGAAGACCTTGAAAAACCACAAAACTTGGTCGTGCGCAGATCCCCCTGTCCGAATTTAACAAACGGTAATGACTACTTGTTTGGCTACTTTGCTTAGTACAGTAAAGCCTGGCATATAGCAACTTATTTTATTTGCAAGCAATACGTTGAGCAAGTAAAACTCGATTTGACAGATCTTTCATCCTATAATTTATAGCTCCTTGGCATCACAGGGTGTTTCCTTAGAAGTTATGTTTATTTTGTACAGTTGGTCACACTTATTTCAAAGAGTTGTATAATTGTACAGTAAAGCCTGCAATGGATGGTTACTTAAGACAATTGATTTGAGAGGTTGGCCATTAAAGAGTCTAGCATTAATAAATACTTCAGATCTTACTTGATTAATTGCTATATTAATTTTATTCAGTATGTTGTGTAAAGTAAAGCCTGGTTCCCACTGACTAGCATCACTAATCAATAGCTAACTCCCCACATGATTTATTATATTAGTCTCATCCATATGAAGCCGAATGACTAATTAACATGCAACATAATCAAAATGACAAATGCTTTCAATAAGTATGCAAATTTTGTTTATCAAAAGAACAACTTTTTTTTCGGCTGTCAATTAACATTAGAGGAGCTCTCTTGCGTTTTTCAACTGTTAACAATGTGAATTAAGAATGGTAAAAACATAATATAACTTCTTTGATTGCGAGCCAAACAATTAAAACTCTTGATTTATACGCTTGCCATACTCTGTAATGCCAAAGAGGCGAGTCTTTATGGCCAGTACCCAAGAGAAAGAGGTGAAAAGAGTTTTTCATAAATGTAGTCGTATCCGTGTGAGCTTATCTCACGAGATTTTTTATCAATAGAACTAGACACCAAACTTGGTATGTAGGTTATCCTATAGCATATACAGATTAATCATATTTCTCTTATTGGAAACCTTTGCCTTTAAGGGCAGATTCTTGCGTTATATAGACTTTCAGACTATATGAAGGACTTAATCAAGAATCAATATCCCCACCCTCCCGTACAGCCTATACAGATTAATATTTAACTTTTTTGACACATTTGCCCGCCCTTTCAGGAATTAAAGAATCTTCCATTTACAGGCAGATTCTTGCGCTATAAAGGATCCGACAATCAGGCTATATCAAGGAGTTTATCAAAAATGAGTATCCCATATAAAGTATGGGCTATATAGAGCTCAACCTGAACTTTCTATGTATAGCATATGACGTATAAAAGGGAGTATCTGCTAGTCGTGCACGCCCGAGTAGGCACTCATGTTTTGATGTTTCATCATCATCGAAGCATCGAAGCATCTCAGTGGCCCCATAAAGTTTATGACATCATTATTTGACAATTAGCATGGTATTTGCCAACTGATATTTTCGACTTCTCGATTTTGGGCTATATCATGGGCTATAGATAGACATGGTTGGCAGATGGACATGCTGGCAATTGTAAGCTTTTGAATTTAAGTTTAGGCTACGTATTTTTTTCTTTCAATTTTTTAATGCTAACCACATTACAAATACACAAATTTAATAATACTAAGCGCTACAGCTGGGTATAAGTCTCAATTAGGCGGTCTTTGTCGCGACTTTGTCGGTTTTCTCCACCGCGGCAGCGACGGGTTTCTGCTCCACCTGCACCACCTGCACGGGCACCACCTCAGCTGCGGCCGCCTTGGGCTCAGCCGGCTTGGTCTGCTCCACTGGCTCCGCGGTCTGCTCTGTCTTGGAGCGTGCACGACGCTGGCTGAGACGCTGCTCGCGCTCCTGCTCCTCGCTGTATTGGGGCAGATCGGCGGCCGCCTTGGCCAGAGCGGTTATCTCGCTGAGAATGTGGGTGCCCGTGGGCACAAAGCCATTCTTGCCGGCCGTATAGTGCACCTCCACCAGCTGGCCATCGGCATCGATGTAGCGATACGAGCCCGTCACTTCGAGGGCCTCGTCGTCGGTGCCGGCATTTTCGACGACGCCGCTTTCCTCGCGGAAGGACTTGTCGCCGCCCTCATAGGTGAACTTGAAGGAACCGTTGGGATCCTTCTCGGTCTCGAAGCGCAGCAGCGGCACGATTTCACGCTTCTCGGTGGTCACATCCGTGCTGCCAATGCTGGCTCCACTGACACCGCTGGCCACCACAAAGAGGCAGATAAATAGCTTGAACATGTCGCGTCTTGTCTCGAGTCTCAACTTGGCCAGAACTCACAAAGTGCGTTGCTTTTATATCGCGCAGCGGCCACACAAAATTAGCATCCATTACGTTATTTAAAAAACAGAAACTCAAACAAAAAAAAAAAAAACAATAAAGAAATTCTATAGAAACTTAGCCGAATGTGTTTTAATAAAACACTCACAACGCGATTTGCATAACTATTTATGATTCAGTGAATCAGCGTGAAGAAAAATGTAAAGCTCTAACCAGCTAAAGAGGCCGAAAATATAAACATCTTTAGGCTTAATTGAAATGGATCTTTAAGATCTGCCAAATTATTAGATCACACTCCAGTTTAGTTTTTTTTAAGAACCATGACGGCTTGCGCAACAGTTAATTAACAACTAAGAAAGTTAATCGCGAGTGCCCGATTAGCATTTACCCGGAAGCCGGATTTAAAGGCAAGCCAAATTATATGCACACTAAGGCGCAAGGTTCAGACCTTAACAGTGCATTTTCTTATGCAAATTGAATGGGAAATGGGGAGATGCATCCACAATCCTAATCTGCCTATCGAGCTCTTAGAATTCTCGATTTATGCTCGAATAACTGAGTATCGCATCGATATTTATCGATTTTATCGAAAAGAATGTTTTGACAAGCTCGTTCTGCTTATCATAGAGAGTATATATTGCAAACTTGAGGTCTCTAGCATGCGTAGTTTCCTTTTTCCCATCTGGTTCTGCTTTCAGTATCTCAGACACGTCTCGCCCTGGCTAAGACGAGCGTCGTCCCAAATGTCAACTTGTCAGTTCTGAAGTCTTCTGAATATCTCTAAGAAACTGCGCTCAATTAGCATATGTGCATATATCATTACATGCATTAGCTTATGGGCAATGCATTAAATTGGCCAACAAGAGGAGCTGCATAAATTTAGCCACATTTAAAGCGCACTTAAGATGCGCTCTGATTGAAACTGTGAATAAAATGAATTACACATGCGATTCATTCATTCATCATTGTGAATGAGACACGAACTGACGGAAACTGAGAAACTTTGAGACGACCACTGAGCACACGGGAAATTTTTCTGGGTGGAGAGCAATAGCCATAAATGAGATATACGAGTGTGAAACAATATTGCAAATACGAGTAGACCCCCAGAGATTGTATGTCAAATGTGAACGAGAAATTACGCTGCCTGCTATATGCCGAAGAGTAAATACTCTTCAGTGGCATCTTGTGGATGCTGGTATGTAAAAACATAAATATAAAAAAAAAAAATATACTATTCAATACGCTAAAGCTCTTATAACATGCGAGATTTGCTCAAAACACGGCACATCGATGTCGATTTTTATCGATCAATTGCAAACGGGTCAAGTTACACACACAGACACTAGGAGGACCTTCATTCTAAATTTCAAGTCCTTAGCTCTAATAAGTTCTGAGATCCATGCGTTTATACAAGCGGACAGACGAATAGGCAGGACACGACTACATTGACTCGGCTGATATACTTTATGGGGTCGGAGATGCTACCTTCTGCCTGTTACATACATTTGCACAAATACATCATACCTCATTTACCCACTTTTAATGGGTATACAAAAGGAATAGAAGCATGAACCGAACCATATTTATTTCAACTCAAAAGCTAGATGAGACTGTAAGAAAATGAAATGGGAAAATGGGTATACCCTATTGCAGGGTATGCAGATGCACTTAAGCAGCGATAGATGTGGACTAAGACGAAGGCCAGTAAAACGCGGGCAAATCGCAGCACACAGAAAATGTGCACAAAAGACGAAAAGGAAAAGCCACAGCAACAGCAAAAAGGGTGAGCTGAGCTGGACGCAGCGGCGGGGCAGGGTGCAGGGCGGCGCCAGAGGTGGAGCTCAAGCTGGAGCCAGCGAAGGCGTCTCCGCTGCTGTTGTTGTTGTTGTTGTTGTTGTTGGAGGCGCGTTAATCTCGCGCGATGTTCATCATGGCATGTTCGTGATCAGAGCGCAGTCTTTGTTGTTGTGTTTGTTGCCGTTGTTGTTGCTGTTGTTGTTGCTGTTGTTGTTGCTGTTGCTGTGGCCGCAGCTCTTGCTGCAATTTTTATGAATTGCAACTGACATTTCCTACACGCTGCCGCCGCCGTCTGTAAAAGTTTAAAGTTTAAGCCGAAAATTGCAATTTTTATGCGCCGGCCGGCTTAGCTTAAGCCAGAAGAAACGCCCCCGCCCCCCCCCCCCGCCCAGTCCGCATGCATATCATTTGGTTCACCTTTTAGCTGGGAACTGGTGCAGGGGAGTGGCGCATCTGGTCAGCAATTGGGCAACTGCCAAGCGTTTCAAATGTCTAAATTGTGATTAGCACAGCAGCATCAGCAGCAGCAGCAGCAGCTGCTGGAGATGCTGCCTCAAACAATGGCACACAAAATGTAGCCTTAATGTTGCATTCATTTGTGGTCCACAAACAAGTGGGCAAACATTTGGCAAACATTTGCCAGACACTGCGCCAATCCCCGCCCCGCGGCACTGCAAATGTCAATAAACAAGCTGGCAAAATAATAAAAATAGAAATAAAGAAAAACTATGAAATAAATGGGCAATTCATCAATTGCAACATGTCTGGTATTAATCTTTTAATTAATATTTGCATTAACAAATTATTGCATATTGCGCCGCATCGCAAATTGAATCAGATACACACACACAAGCACATACACACACACACACACTCACACACATAGACGCCAGCGTGGGCTAATCAAATGAACTTCGCATTGCTAATTCACATAAATTAATGCCTAGACAAGCTGGCGTGCCTCACACACTCACACACACACTCACACACACACACACACACAGGCGCAGAATGAGTCTAAGTAGCTGTCGGTTTAACTCATAAAACATATATACACACACACGCACACACATATGCCCGTCTTTTATGTGGTTATACACGGCGTATGCGCAACGCCCATTTGCATTCTGGAAACTCGTTGCGCATACGCCGCGTGGTACAGCGTGGCAGCAACCTCTTCCGATTCTGTTGATGCCGCCGTCGCTGCTGCTGTCGCTGTCAAATATACGAACAACTTCTTGCTCTTCTACCTGGCCATCGTCTGCTTCTCCCTCTTCTTCTTGGCAATCTAATTGTTGCTGCACTGCTCTCATTGCGGATGCTGCCGCTGCTGCTGCTGCTGCTGCTGATGCAGTTGCTGTTGCTGCGGCTCAGTGAATGCATTTTTGGTATAAAAACGTTTGCGCGGCTGCATTCAAGTCAAAACCGTTTTGACGAGCCCTCCAAGCGCAGACAAACGCTGTACTCCAAAACAAGCCGCGAATTTCAAAGTGAGTTCTTAACTGTTTGTGCTGTGCTCAGTTGGTGTTTTGTGCGAAAGGATCAAAAGGATCGTTGAACAAATAAAAAAGACATCAGATTAAAACAAAGTCAAGTCAAATAGTTCTATCAACATTCATTTTCTTAATCAAACGGATCGTTGACCAATTAAAAAAAACCAAGTCAAGCCATTTACAATTATAAGCATTCTTTTTTTAAAGGATATTTCAAAAGATAATCCTACGAATTCTCAACAAGTGTATGGCAGCAAAAATGGCTATGCCAAGGCCAAAAGTAGGGTTAGTGAAACGAATTATGACACAGTCATAGTCCGATTATTCAGTTGAACAACGAGACCAAGAACTCGAATCCCAAGCTAGTAGCATATACAATATTGTCAGATTAATAATAGCTAAAATACTGCTATTAAATAAAATGCACACATCTACATATTTTTTGTAGCTGCGGCCTTCTTGTTGCCACTTTAAAGATGACTTTCGAAAAATGCAAAGATTAAAGCCAATTATTATTGGCATCAATTACTGAGCACTTCGAACGGTGCTTGACATTATCATATCTCAGTTATGTCTCAATTAACCAATCATCTGTTTTGTTTATCGACCCCCACTCTCCCCCGAAAAGGTCATGCAGCTGCTCACCTCCGCCTACGCTGTCGCCGCCCTTGCGATCTGCTGCCTGTGCTTCGTCACAGCTCAGCCGCAGCGCGGTCTGGCGCAGCCGCGCTCCAACTCCTTCGATGCTAATGCTGTGATACTGAAGCAGAACTTTGATCTGAACCCGGATGGCTCCTATCAGTACAAGTAAGTTATGGTTGGAATACATTACTTCATTATTGTGAAGGATCTTTGAGAAAAGCTGCTTCAATAAAGAAGTCAGTCATTCAGATAGTCAGGACATACAGTCAGTCATTCATTAATGCATCTTTTCCATCAGTCAGTAAAACAATCAATTAGTAAGCCAGCTTATCAATCACTCAGTCAATCATTCAATCGCTGTCAGTCACTTTTTCGAACATTCAAGCAGCGAGTTGTTCAGTCATACATTTCATCAGGCGTTCTATCAGGCACTATCAGCCAGTCTTTCAATCAGTCAAACATTCAATCAGTCCGATATTCAGTCAATAATTTAGTAAATTATTCAGTCAGTGAATCACTTAGTCGCTTATTCAGTCAGTCAATTATCCAGGCAATCAATTAGTTATTCAGTTATTCTATCAGTCAGTCAGGCTGCTCATTAGTGAAATAATCAATATGCCATTCAGCCATGCATTCCATTAGCTATTCAGGCAGTGCGTTTTATATAAGTATATTTGGATAGCTGTCATATCAAGTGCATTATTATTTAAATTCTTATTCATTTTTCTATTTATGTATTCTATATTATTTATCTTGCATAGCTACGAGACGAGCAATGGAATTCGCGCTGATGAGGCGGGCTACCTTAAGAATCCCGGCTCACAGTTGGAGGCTCAGGTGGGTTTCGATGGCACAGTTTCAGGCGCAGCTGCAAAAGTTCCGAGAACTCGTGTGGCCTATTTTTAGGAAAGCAAAAATAACAGAATTGATGTTTGCAGGTAATGCAAGGCTCCTACTCGTACACCGGACCAGATGGCGTGCTCTACACGATTACCTACATCGCCGATGAGAATGGCTTCCGCGCCGAGGGTGCACATATTCCCACACCGCCGCCCGTGAGCCCGGCCGCCGCTGCCGGTCCCCGCCGATTCTTCAAATAATTGATAATTGACCAGCGAGAATTATATTTAATTGGATATAATATTTGTATGATAGCATCCAGGATGAAGTTCAGGGCAGCAGCTCAGTTGATTCACAGACCTCTCTCACTCCCTCCCTCCCTTCCCCGCTTCCACAAAAACACTCACACGCAACACTGCTTCATTTTTCCACTCTCACAGCATTCCGTGTGTATTTATGCATTTCCACACGTTCTCCAACATTCCCGATTTCCACATCTACCTAGCGCCTAACGAATCGTTTAAAATATGTTTTGTACATTATTTAAGTTTGATTGTTAAATGTCGTACGACATCGCAAGCTACGCAATAAAACGAATATTGCTCGAAATGTTTTTAATTTCTTGGTTTGTTGTCGTTATCTATCTTTTTGAGGTTATTCTTTATTGCAGCGTTGCTAGACTGTTTTTTGTTGTTTGGTATTTTTGCAGTATCTTATATTTGTGCAGGTAAAGTTGATTATTCAGTGCCCTTAGAAATGGATCTCAGCAATGCGAAATAGGACATGGCCGTTCGCACAATCTGTTAGGCACATGCAAAATTCAGCTCCAGACTCTCAATCGTTGCGCCCAACCACTCACCGAGATAAAGACCTCCATGTTGGCCTCAAAGAAGAAGCCATCGATACGACTGCCGCGCTGCGCCCGCATCATCGAGAACTGCAGAGAACGTCCCAGGGCCAAATCAAGGGCGACCTCATGCCAATGGCTGTCGTAGATGGCATTGGCGAAGCCCGTGCTCGCCGTCTTCAGGCGATCGCCGCAATAACAGTAGATATAAAGCTGAGAGAGCACCGATACGGTAAATACCACATAGAAGGGCATCTGGGCATTGTCGAACTTAACCAACAGCGTATAGCTGAGCACGCACAGATGCAGGGAGCCCACCACGAACTGCACGCAGATGAGCAGCCGAAAATAACGATTCAGTGCCGCGCTGAGATCCAGGCTTCGTCTATACAAATCAAGGATCTTGCCCAGCTGTGCCTCGCTGCCTGCACCAGCTCGAAAGAGCTGCATCGTATGCTGCGACGTCTGAAACAGGACGACAAGATTATGAATGAGGGCCATAAAAAATGTATCTACACAAATGCTGGGCAGGACGACAGCAAAGCTGGCGGACGCTAACAGGGCGTAGGAGAGCAGCGCATAAGGCAGCTGTTGATTATCCCAGGGGTAGCTGCACGGAAAGGTCATCTCCAGCCGCAGCTGACCCGTGCGCCAATAGTTGAGGCACATGCTCACGCTGGGCTTCAAGGAGCTCAGAATGGCCGCCAGCATAAAGCAGTTCTTGTAGATGCCGCTGAGCCGCTGCTCCCGCCGATTCTCCTCGCCGATGATGTAGGCAGGCACTTCAAAGGACACAAGCTTGAATAGGCACTAAGAATCTACTGAATTTACCCAACTGGTACCTTCGGTCAGCAGCTCTCGCAGCCTGGCCACGAGCCGCTGAAAGTCCTTGTGCAGCCACATCATGAGGCCGAACTTGAACAGGCCCAGTTGATTGATGAGCAGCGCGGCCAAACCCTCTGTCAGCTGATCCATATTCTCCAGATTCTGTATGCTGTAGGCAATAACCATCGCTTGGACCATGGTCAAGGAGAGCATTAGGCCCAAGGCTCGCCAATGCTGCCGCCAGCCCGACATCTCTGGTCTAGCAAGTATATTGAATCCAAGAATGCGAAAGTAAGTGTCCTGCACCTTGAGCAGGTTCTCATTGATAGTCTCCATTCTGCAAGTACTGAATGTCCTTGCTGCACTCAGCTTTTATACCAGACTACAAAAGCTGCACAGTGGTTCACAGCGAGTGTTTACATGGCAAAAAATCAACTACTTAAAGGATAGAGTTGGGCGTATAAACCCTATTATTTCAATTTAATACCCTTGAGGGGTTTTCATAATTACTTGTGAATAGAAAAGTAAATAACTCTTGCCCCTCTGTCTGTACTAATAAGATATCTTAATTCGATATTAATTTTTTCTTTGAAAACTCTTCGTTTTTTTAAAATATCTTGCTGTTAAGGCTTGAGCAAAATATTCTTATTATAAGACTTTTAGATTAATTGGCTCTGATGTCATTATTAGACTGAGATACGAGTTCGTGCATGGCAAAAGGTATATATCTTTAAATGTGTATCTTTTTATAAGAATATATCTTAATAAGTATATATCTAAATAAATACATATCTTTATATGTATATATCTTTATAAATATATATCCTTATAAGTATATCTCTTTTTATGAAAATATCTTTATAAAGTATTTTTTTGAGTGTATATATTTAAAAATATATATTTTCAAAAGTTTTAATTTTTGCACTCTAAAGACCATATTTCATTCTGGTTAATGCCTTGTGAGTTCTACTAACCCAGTGTCCAGTCTGAATTTAATGCGTTAATAATTAGAGCTAAAATTGCCGGGCAATTATTTTAATTAGCTCGATTAAGCTATAGGCATTAAAATTAGACACAGTTTAGACATGCCCGAGCTGGGAAGGTGTTCAACAAATTCAGTTTAAGTGCAAGCTGAGCTGCGCCTGGGAACAGGTTAGAAGCAACTGCTCTTAAGAATTTAAATTGAATATGCCTTGTTTTTTTTTTTGTTTTTGAAAATGTTCTTTATTTACACACACAAAACAAACATCAAAAGGTGTCTTGACGCAGTGGCTCCTGGACAGGTGGTCGATGACAGTGGCTGCTTTGCTTGGCCTGGCAGGGTTTAACGTCCCCAGCCCCAGCCGCCGCCACCCCAGCCGCGATTCCAGCCGCCGCCCCAGCCATGGCCCCAGCCGCCGCCTCCCCAACCGCCGCCGCCCCAGCCATGGCCCCAACCGCCGCCTCCCCAACCGCCGCCTCCCCAACCGCCACCTCCCCAGCCGCCCCAGTGCCGCGCCTCTCGATTGCCCTCATTGGCGTGGGCGTTTCCTTGATCAGCTACCTGCAGCAGATCAATGTGCTCCTCGTTCTTGTCATCCAACGGCTGGGCAAAGCTCAAGGCTATGCAGACAGCTCCAACGAGCGCCAGAAGTGTAAGACGCATCTTGGTATTGTTTCTACTCCTTGGGTATTCTTTGGGTTGTTTGAATGTTTGGCTTTGATGCTTTCGGTTCAACTGATGCTGACAGGCGCAATTCAGCGGCCTTTTATTTGCCCACAAGCCGTCAAAAATTCATCCAGTTGTCGTTCCTGTTCCCGGCCGTATCTCCTAAGCCCAAATGCATTTCGCATACTTAGCACTTAAAGTTACGTATAGATTATCTGTGGGTCTTTGTTATGATCTTATACCCTGAACGAGTGAGTAAATAGGGTATGATGTTTTTGTGCAAGCATATGCAATGGACCGAATCTTTACAATCGGAGAATATATTCTCTAAGAATAATTCACTTTATGGACACATCCTCCAAAATGTAAAGCAAAAAATTTGTTAAAGAAAATTCCTGCGCTTTGGCTATCCTTAAAAACCTCATGAAGATCGGACAATGGGTACCGAAGGCTTCAAGGAGCACACTTCCAGCACAACAGCTCATCCCTGGGCTTAGGGTAACTTTTAGTCGTGCACACCCAACTGGAGCACTTTTACTTGTTTTTTTTTTACGATTCTAAGTCAGGTTGTGTTAACTTTCTTAATATTTGTTTATTTGATTGTCATGCTTCGTTGCCTATTACACCTGCTTTTGCTGCATTTGCTGTTGTTGTTATTGTTGATCCATTTGTTTATCACAAAAGTTGCCCCTACCAAATGTACATCCCATAATCAAGGCGCAAGTGGACCACATTAACTGGCAATTTATTAGATCTGGTAGCTGGACAGTGGGCGTGCGTGTGTGTGTGTGTGTGTGAGAGGGGAATGTATATCGAGTAAATAAATTGCATGGCCAACAATGAGACGAATGTATTCGTAAATCAAGTTTAGACAATGTATTCGACATTGCTTTGTTAAGGATTGTTTATATAGAAAGCGAATAACAGTAAAAAAAATTATTGATTAATTAAAAACAATTAAAATAACTTAGCAAGCAGATACCCTATATAATTCGTAAAACTAAGACAGATGTACGTTCAATTTATATACTGGACGGAGCTCATAAAACACTCAGAGCGCAGCCGATTGTTATATCGTTATACATATAAATATATTATATAGTATTTATAAAGCTTTGTGTGTATATTCTAAGCACAAGCCCTCCTCAGGCATGCAGAAATTAATAAGCTATTGCAGCGTTGCCAGACTCTTGTTAAGTACATAGCAAAAAAGCAAACATGAATGTTAATAAAAAATAGTCTCCTTTATATACGAAAGACGCTCCATTTAATAAAATGACTTGGGAAAATAAATAAATATGAGACCGGACTATACCATTATTATTAAATATGGCTCATACATATAAGTATATAATGATGCTCAAATTGTATTCCAATCAATCTCATTTTCTACTTCTGAAAAAATCGTAAAACATTGAATCATTTTTTCTTATTATAGTTTATTCACCCAACGAATCGCTGTTGAATCTTTGACGCTTTCGATTTAAAACAAAAGAATTAAAAATTGTTTTTTGTAATGTTCTTTATTTACAAACACAAAATGAACAAAGTTTTCGCTGTGTTAGGACGCCTGTGGAGCGTTGGCAGTTGTTGATAGCTTCAGAAGGACTTATCGTCCCCAGCCCCAGCCGCCACCGCCGCCACGACCACCCCAGCCGCCGCGACCTCCCCAGCCGCCGTGACCACCCCAGCCGCCCCCGCGTCCGCCCCAGCCGCCTCCGCGTCCGCCCCAGCCGCCTCCGCGTCCGCCCCAGCCACCGCCCCATTGACGGGCCTCTCGGTTGCCCTCGTTGGCATGGGCCTGTCCTTGATCGGCGACGTTGAGCAGATCAATCTGGTCGCTTTCCTCCTCGGCGAGGGCGTAGCAATAGGCGAGGCAGAGCACGCCGATGAGTGCTAAGAGTATTAAACGCATCTTGGGATTCCCTTTCTAGTGGATATGTTACTTGGTTGGTTGTGCTTGAAGCTTTCGTATGTGACTGATGCTTTCAACGTAGGTCCAGCTGCCTTTTATTTGCCATCAAAGCCTGGAAATAACCAGCTGAGTTGTCGTTCCTGTTCTCGTACGCATCACCTAATTTTAAGTGTCATATAGTACTCAAAGCCACATTAGAAGGGGTTTTTTTTTTAATTTTTTGTAGCCAGGCATTGTTACTTTCGAGATGTTTGTGTATTTATTTATCGCCATAAGATTATTACACCTGTTCTGGCTGCAGTTGTTATTGTTTTCTTCTAAAATTAAGCAGCTAAACGATCCATCAAGAAACTCAGACAATGTGGAGCATATTTAAATTAATTAAACCAAAGCAATTACCAGTTGTAATTACTTTGAGCAGTGTTGTAAAGTGATGCGATGGCACAAAGCAAGTACGCTGTTCGAAGCAATGTTGTAAAACTCAGACAATGTGGAACATATTTAAATTAATTAAACCAAAGCAATTACCGGAGTGTGCAGGCATACTCTTTTTTAAGCAGTGCTGTAAAACTTAACAGGCGAAGGCACAAATCAAGTACGCTGTTCGAAACAGTGTTGTGAAATGATTTGAGAGTAAGTAGTTAGTACACTGCTCGAATAATAACTAGGTGCTGTTCAACAGATCTAGGCTAAGTAGCCATAAATGAATACCTAAGGTCACTTAAGGTCGAGACGCCAAAAACAAACAAACAAAGTTGTAAATCATTTATGACATGTTGTTGCATTTATCAAAACAAATTAGCTGGCACGTAAAACCCAAATTGTGCATAGCATAGTTGATCTTAAAATCACATATGTACATATAATTGAGCATATTATCATGCAAATTTTTTAAATGAACAATCGAAAGCCGAAACTCGTTTCTCACGCCCGATTTGTCATATGTGTTACACTTAATATAAGCTGTACTTTACTAATTTTGGAAAATGCTAATTAGCAGGTGCTATTCGCAAATGCAAGTTTGCAATAATAGCTGTGATGCATGATTTCAGATAAGTGTATTAGTTGACCTATGTGAACTAAGATTCACAAAGATTTCGGTTGCAGGTATTTTTTTTTTTGATTGTTTTGCTGTGAGTCACCCGTGAGTTATTAGTCAATTAAATTACGCTACGTAGTGCTCAAAACAAAGCTTAAATCCCATTAAGCGACAAGTTTTTGTACATAGTTTAATTTATTTATGAGCACAACAAAATAAGCAAAACAATTGTGAGGTTAGCGTCGAGAAGCTTCAAAAGCGTATTCACCACGCCCATATTCACCATACATGTGGAATGAATATGAGCTCAAGTTACATTACGGTCCGTATTGTTGTACACAGTTTAACTTATTTATAGGCACGACTAAGTAACATAAAACTTTTTGTAAGGCTAGCGTCCATAATATCCATAGCCTCCACGATGTCCATGTCTGTGTCCACCATAACCGAAACCACCACGGCCATATCCACCATAACCGTAACCACCATAGCCGAAACCACCACGACCGTAGCCACCATAGCCACCGTAACCACGACGACGACCAAATCCACCACAGCAGAAGGCTCGCGCCTCTCGATCGCCCTCGTTGGCGTGTCCCTCGGGCTGATCGGCCAGATCCAGTAATGTTATCAGGCCATTATCCTGGACATTATCCTGGACATTAACCTGGACATTATCCTGGACATTATCCTGGACATTATCCTGGACACTATCATCCAACGGCAGCGCATAGCCGAGGGCCAGGCAAAGAGCTCCAACAAGCAGCACCAGGGTCAAACGCATCTTCTAGCCGTTCCTCTATTTAACAAACTTAATTTCCGTACTGATGCAATCTATCGCAATGCCAGCGCCTTTTATGGAAGATTCAGCTAGATTAATCGTTATTTTAGTTTCGCGGAAAAACGAATTATTTGATGGCACATACAATTAATTAGTCTCGAGGGTGCTTTAAACCCTAAAAAGAATGCAAGCTCATTTCCTGCCGAGAGTTGCTCTGAGACTAGCTAGGTTAAAGATTAAGTTAAAAGCTCTCAATCGTTTCCTTTTTTAAAAAGCGCTGGCTAAAACAATGCATTCGCTTGGGGTTTGAACCTTCAAAACCTTCACAAGGGGTTCGTCGATATATTTCTCCAAGGTGGAATAAACTCTCAATTAATTCCATATTTATAATCCAATTCGTCAGCAAGCATGTTGGCAACCAGTTAAAAGTGAGTTTAACATAACATTTCGAGTTAACATGCAGGAGTGGAAATTTAATTTACATTATGTTTCGTTACCAAGGATTTCAACCCGACCAACGACCAAACAAAGCCACGGAATGCATGTTGCCGAGTTTCTTAACCGAACCAATCGACGCAATCGAAATGCTCAAATAGAAGGAGAGGTGCAGCGGCGACTTGGAGAATATGCCAAGGATTTGGAGGAACGCCGCCGCCAACTGGCAGAGCAGCTGCACAACGAGGAGCGCCAGCTGGACGAGGAGCTGGCAGAGCTGCTGCAGTCGCGTCTCGAAGCAGCGCAAAATCAGCGTATCGAATGGATTCAACTGCAGCTGATGCGAAGCGAGCGGAAAGAGCAGCAGCTGCTCCAGCTGAAGCAGCAGCAGCGCGAGATGTGAGTCAGCTAAGCTTCTAACTAGCTAAATAATACTAAAAACTTTTATTTCTCTCCCCGCCAGCGAAAACTCGGAGCAGCATCGTGAGTCGGAAACGAAGCAAATACTTTTGGAGACCAAACAGGCGCAACTCTATCAAATTGAGGAGCGCAAGGAATTGCGCCGCCGGGCAGCCTACGTGGATTCCCTCTGGCAACAATACAGCAAATAATAATACAAAAGTCAAGAACATTCGAAGCCACCCGCGACCGAGTGTAATTAACCTGCAACACGTGTCGGCATTCTATTTATTTATTTACAATTAAAAATGCCAGTTTGATAAAAATATGCGAAACAGCCGAAAAAACGAATTAGGCGACTAATAATAATTATCGAATGTAAAATATATGAGAAAAATTTGCACAGAAGTGGGCGAAAATATTTGTTTGCACTCAGCCCATTTCGCCTTTGATATTTCGATAGCAACAACGATGACAAAATGCAGGCTGCATCGCTAGAATATACCCTGTAATCGTTAAATAATGCATAAGAGGGCTTGACATAGTCGCACATGTTTGCTAATTAAACACCTTAGGAAATATTTTTGAGTACAGGGTGGAACGAGTTTATACTTAATAAACAAAGTTGAATTAAATAAAGTCATTCAGTTATGAATTTGGCCGTTTCAGAATAAGATTACTGCGTTATTCAACTGAACCCGGTTTATTTTGTTTGGGCATAGCTTTCTGGATAAACAAAATTATTGGAACAATAATGAATTATTCGAATTATAATATAGACGCTTAAAGTTCGTTGGTATATATCCCAGATTTGTTATTGACTCTATGCGATGAGATTGCACTTTTCAGTGCTGACAACGTCACAAAGTTGTGATTCCCTCGTCTAGTGCATTGTAAGCCAATTAACACGACTATGCGATAAGTGCTTGGGTAAGAATTTCAGCTGAGCCCCTGCAATAATGGATCAGCAAATTGTTGCAACTGTGACTAAGTGTTGGATAATGTTGTGAAATCTCAATTAGGCTACTTTAGAACTGAACACTTGATCCCACTATGAAATTTAAAATGCTAATCAAAAGATCAAACATTTGGTTGATTTAAATATCGTGGAGGCTTAAATAACCTATTATTTATTGTACTTAAATCTTCTCAAGGGTTAACCCTTCTGTACAAGTTATTCATATGATATAGATTCGCGTATGAATGTTGGCGTTGCCACATAGTTAATATTCAAAGAACTAGATTATAAATTGCAAATTTATTTATTTTGCTCGATATTGATGCGTTTATTTTTAAATCAGTTTCACCACCAATAGTAATGATAACGATGTCCCCAAGGATGGTAGTAAGGGCGATAGTAATAAGAACGATATCCCCATGGGCTGAACCAAAGGAAGCGTGCATTACGTGCTCCTTCCTCTGCGTGCTGGCTGCCCATATCGGCGATATCCGTTAGGGTGGCCATGGAATCCGTATTGTCCACTTGCTGCTGTGGTTCTGGCTCCTGCACGACAGGCGCCTGTTGCAGCTGATCCTGCTCCAGCTGAGCTGGCCAGCCCCAGGACAAACTGAGACTTGCGATTACAAGCAAAATGCACAGCTTCATATTGCGAATTTAAACTCGAGAACTGAACTGTCTTCTGCTTGTTAGACAGTTGTCACTTTTATAGGTCGGTGGGTCTTGCACTTTGTGTTTTCAATTAGATTTATTTGCACCCATCGAGTTTCACAATTATGAGAAATTTTCATGCTGGCCAAAACGACAGACATCGAATGACTGGGCGTTCCACAGGGGTTTTTTTAGAGTGCAGTGCAAACAAGGCTTGTTTGCTTCGAGCACACACGGCGAGGAACGCAAATCAGTAGCTCTTAGCTCTTAGTTCTACAAAATATACTCTCTTAAGTTCAATAAAAAGCATGTCAATACTAAAATTAATCAATTGGCTACCACTTATTAGCTTTAAAATCGAAAACATACTTTTAGGCTCACCTAATGAAAAGATAACCCGAATAGCCCTAGTTCAGCTTGTCGATATGCACATTTCATAAGAGACTTCAATCGAAAATAAAGCATTTAAATATACATTTTGATTAATTATTTGCCAGAGCTGAGAGCTCTTAAATATGAATCGCTTTTTGGTTCATTGAACCCACTTTTGTAAAAAGAGCGGCCAGTCGCACAGCAAAATCAACAAAATTTGCAAACAATTAAAAAAAAAATTGTGCTTAAACAAAGTCATGCACACAAAGCACATTTCAAATCAACGTAAGAACACATTTTTTGTGAACAATAATTAACAATGTAAATAAGACAACAAAGTTTCATTCACATTTGACAAAATGTTGCCGAAGCTAAGTATATATGTCGATATAGAATATATGACATGTGCCATTTTCACATTAATTTTGACCAGGACAAAAATGACCAGATTTAGATCTCAAATTGATCTAGAGGCCAAACCACGAACAAGGAGCCAAAAGTCGTGAAAATCAAATGAGATTTGATGGAGCTATGAGGTTGGGAAATTTTGACCTATGCCAAACAGTCTTACATATAGAAATTTTATGTGTTTAATATAACTGAACAAACTTAAATTAAAAATACTTTGTTAATGAGATATTCTATTCGATAATCGCAGACTAGTCTGTTAGCCAGTTCCTTTTGGAGCTACCTTCAGCCCAACAAGCCCAAGAGACCGCTCAGCGCCTGAGGATTGGCGCCTCCGGCAGCTCCGGCTGCACCGCCGCCGCCATTGGCCAACAAGGGTCGCAAGCTGCTGCCCAGCGCTTGGCCCAGCAGGCCTGCCAGCTGCGCTGCCTGCGCTGTGTTGAGCTGTGAACCAGCTCCAGCTCCAGCGCCTGAGCCAGCGCCGACACCAGGTGACACGCCCGCGCTTGGATTGGCGCTGATTGGCGGCACGGCTGTCGCGTAGCTGCCGTAGGAGGAAGGTCTGTTTCCATAATTATTGTTGTAGTTGTTGTAATTGCCGTAGTTTGGCCTGGAGCCGTAATAGTTGCCCGGATATTGCACGGGTCGCTGATAGCCGCCGTAGTTGTAGTTGTAGCTGGGCCTGTAGAGGCCATAGCCCGGATAGCCATAATAGCTCTGAGCCAGGCCCGGATAGCCCAAACCCAAGCCAAATCCATAGTTGGGCCTGTAACCGTAGACGCTGCCATAGCCATAACCAGGATAACCTCCGCCTACATATCCTCCACCTCCGTATCCTCCTCCTCCTCCTCCACCGCCTCCGTATCCTCCTCCTCCGTACGGATCCGACTGCGTGCCACTGCCCGCGCCAGCCGCCACCCCGCCTCCACTCACGCCGCCCAGAGGCGCCACTGGCGCATCGAACAATGGCCCCGCGGAACCGAACAGCAGCGGCGAGAGCAGACCCAATGTGCGTCCCTGTGGACGCGGCTTGCTCCTCTGGCCACTAGCCAGGGCGAAGAGCACACTAAGCAGGCAGAAACGCGCCGGCAAATACATTCCGTTGGATTAAAGTCAGGCTGCGGCACCTGACGACTGGCAACTAAAGTTGCTGCACATTGTCCAATTTAGTTTTATATGCTGGCTGAAGAGGCCACGCCCCTAACAACTGTTCTTGAGCATTTGGCCAAATATGTGACGGAAACTGGCAGACCTTCAGCGCATCCGAAAGTTACCAAAATTCAACGACAGCTCGCACGCACACGCTAACAAAACGCCGCTAAAACGTTACTAAAACGCGCCAAAGTCGCGTTGGAGTCGCGCCGGAGTCGCGGCAGCGCGTCATGGACTGGTTCTGGTTCCATGCTTTCACGCATGCTCCAAAGACGGCAGACGCCTGACATTGACCTTGCTCAACGTTTTGGCAAATATTGACCAAATAGGTAACAATCAAAAATAGCAAAATGCACAAGAAAACAGAATGAAGATAAAATACCCTTTAATGCCAAGCGTATAGAACAAGAGTTCGATCGATCAAGGCTTTGAAGACGTATTGTTAGTATAGTAAAGCCCATAATTGATGGGCTTGTTCAAGATATCTCGAAAAACAAAAAAGTTTTCCATATAATGGTATTATACTTATATTATTCCGTGATATGCCCTACTATGCCCCTACAATAGTTGACCAAATTGTATGAGCTTTTTACTTTGTATAATAATTTTTACTGTATATACTTTGTCGGGGCCGGCTGTTTCTATGCGTGACATATTTGTTGACATAATGATAATACCCTCTACAATAAAGAATACATTTTTAAGATCTAAATAGAGTGCTCGACTAGGAGATATCCGGTTTTCAGCTGGCAGCTGCTCAAACATTTGCATAGTTAGCTCGAAGCACAGAGATATGCTCTAAAAAGCCAGGCTAAGCCAAGTTGGCTTAAAATTAATAATAACTAATATCAGACAAGCTTGCTAAATAGTATTATTCTATAATTTCTAGAACATAAAGTCTCTGAGAACGAAAGACAGACAGACTATCGATTAGTTTGTTGATGCTATCCAAGATTTGGACTTGATATTTTTTTTTATTTTTCAATCTGTCGCACTTTGCACTTTACACACATTCGCACAAAAACAATATACCCCATCTGACCCACTTTGTAATGGGTGTAGGGTATATAAAAAACTGTTTCACACCGTTAACGCGTTTTTTTTTCTGTAGTTTTTGTTAACTTCCGCGGGTTTTTCATAAGTTTGTTTTTAGCTTTTATGAAACTTGTTTGCTTTATAGGAATTAAACTTAAAGAAATCTTTAGAAGTCCACAATTGTATTTGCTTTCAATGGAATTAACTAAGTCAACTTGGTAACAATCAGAAAAATAAACAGAAACTTAGCCAAATACTTTAATTAAAGCTCAGCTCAGATATTTTCTTTATCCAGTAGGGATTAATATTATCTAAAAACTGAACTGATATTATCTAAAAAAAAAAAAAAAAACTAAGCCCAATTGAAAAACAATTTATTTGGGCAAATCGTTTCGATCGAGTATAGTCTGTGACTGTGGGAAACCAATTAAAATGAATGTAATGAATTTGACTTTTTTTATCATGTGATCCCCCAATTATATTTAATAGTGGGCTGTAATGCGTCATTTCGGGGGCTGTTTAACAACCAGTTTTCGGTCTCATCAAATTGACTTACGTTTTGTTTACAATTTTTATCCCACTGTCAACTAGACGTCACAATATTTTATTCAGTTCACAAAAAGTGTGTGCAAATTGCAGACAACACTGAGAGAAAATTTAAGGTTTATAATGTTTGGCAAAATGAATTATTAAATAAGATCAATCGACTAGACTATTCCCAGAGCCCAAAATTATGCAACAATAATAAATTGTGAAATATGCTTTAAAAGGGCATCACAAACATTTTTGTATCGCAAATTTCTGCTCTTAAAAAAATATTAAATTCAGGACAATCGTTAAGGCATAGTCTTTATGTAGACTCCTGAAACATTAAGTAAATATTCTCTAACTGAACTATATTTAATACTCTTCAATTTCATTATTTGATTAGCTTGCCTTATTAGTTAGCTTCGGCTGATCTAGTGCTAATCCGCTCATTAGACAGGCACTTGTTTTAAGTAAAAACGAAAATAAAAACAAATTAACTACTTTTAATAAATGTTCACTTTATGCCTGTGTCAAAACACGTTGCCTTTTATTGTGCCAGAATAAAAAATGATATAAGTAAAATTCTGATCTTTTACTGCGCAGTTCGGCAAACACTTTGAAAGGTCAGTAATCCGAGCTCTTAACAAGTTTTTAATAATTTTCGATTGCCTCTCAACGCAGGCATAACGAGAATAGAAAGAAACGGCACGTCGAACTCTTAATACCCTGCAGAAGCTGGGCCTATGGCTGCATATAGTTTTATAAGAAGACTTCTTACTTCCCGATTATTCGCATAGGAGTCACAAAATATAGCACCTCAATCTGATATCACTTTGCAGATATAGTAGTCTAGTTAGACTCCTAAATATGTCAAACTTAAAAGTTGTTCATAAGAGAACTTAATTTTTAAAAAATCTTCAATTCAAAAAAGCCATATCATATAGGGTTACGATCTGGCCGAACCTATGCAAAGCCATCTCTTTATATGCATTACACATTTCGTGAGATTAATAATAACTTTAACAAGGGCATAAAATGTGTATAGAATGTGTGTGCCCAACATCTAAATACTCTAGAAAATTTATTTAATAAATATGTTTTTTATATTCTTTGCATATCAGCTGCTGAAAAGCTTGTTCCCATGTTCTACTTTAGATAATTAACCCAGTTAAACTCCTTTATGTTGGCTTTCCGGCGAGTCCAACCACCTTCTTGCTGACATTTCTTACAGGGTATTAGAAGAGTGAGTCCCCCACGTGAAGTGGCCAAGTGTTTTGTTTATAGAAACATTGTGAGAAGTTTTTAATTTGCCGCGTCTTAACAACAAGCTGCAACAATGTAGGTCTTTGGCTCTAGGCCAACATGACAAATGTATGTGAAAAGTGAGCGTGGGGGAGTGAAGGGGTAAAGATGTTGCGGGGGGATGGGCAGCAACCAAATTGTCTGAGCGCCTTAGGGGTCCGGGAATTACGCTGGCCGCGTGCTTACATATGCTGGTGAAGTCATCAAAAGCAGAAAAACAGAAAAACAAAATAATGATAGATGCTGGAGCTAATGATTCGTTTTGGCAGGATGAGCCAATCAGAATCACATGGCAGTTCTGTGGTTCCGTGCGGTGCATCCCCGCGTGGCCAGTCAAAAAGTCGACGACTATAAAAGATCTCGGCTCGCGATCTACCCCAAATAGAAGCAATTGTTATCCCAAAGATGAAACAGTTTGTGGTGCTAGCCTTAATCAGCTGCCTGGCCTTGGCCAGTGTCTGTGCCCATCCGCTGGAGCCGGTCGAGGAGCAGCTCACACTCGAGCAGGTGGACGCTCCGGCCGGCAATGATGTCGACGGAGTGCGTCTTGCACGTCACTTTGGCGGCGGCGGCGGATTCTGCTGCGGCGGTGGCGGCTTTGGACGTCCCGGCTTTGGCGGCGGCGGCTATGGCGGTTATCCGGGCGGCGGCTTTGGCGGCGGCTATCCGGGCGGTGGCTTTGGCGGTGGCTATCCCGGCGGTGGCTTTGGACGACGCGGCGGCGGCTTCGGAGGCGGCAGTGCCTCAGCCTCTGCCTCGGCCTCAGCCTCAGCTAGCGGCAACTTTTATGGCAAATAGGCGAATTTGATGTAAAAACAAAACAAATCACAATAAAAAACAAAAACGAAAAAACAGTCAAGCGCGCTTCTGAGACAGATGCAAATATATATCTAAAATGTTCACGCCTTCTGGCAGCCGGTTTTGCGCTCGAAAAACAAATAACAACAAAAATGGCATTAACAATAATACTATTAATCAAAAAATAGCTGCTGAATGCGAAGATTTGATTTTTAACGCACTGCAAAATAATGTAACACCCAGAAATATTCCAACGGGTTGCTCAAAATATTCCGTTGACTTCAATTAAAAACTGCCCGAAAATATATAACGTAATACTCATAAAATAAAATCGGATGTGCGAATTATTTTTGGGGCCTGGCTTAAAAAGCGAAACTGAAACTGAGACTTTTGTCAAATATGCTCAGACAGAATCGAATTTACCAGTTTTACAGCTTGAAATGATTTATTCTCCACACAAAATAAAAAAACAAAAACAAAAAAGTGATAAATGATTTAATTAGTCAGAAACTTTTTCGGGCTAAGCAGCGTAATAAATAAAACGGACTAAATAATTGGTTTTTGATTGAAATTTTCAAGCAAAATTATTTATTAGCCAAAAGCCATTAAATTACCATTATATAGAAACTGATTCAAATGGGTCTGTTCTGAATAAAACAATATTTTGTTGTTGCCTTTGAATAACTCAGGCAAATAATAGTTAGTTTTAGGTATGTTAAGCCTTTTTGAGCTTGCATTTAAGACTCTGAATTATAAACTTTGAAGCATTTTGACAAAAGCAATCACAATTTTTGCCACCCAAAATATTTATTTACATCTTTAGAAGTAAATAGAATGGATTGACATTAAAAGATAGACATTTAAGACATGCAAATATTTTCCACACTTGCAAAGCGAAGTTTCCTCTCTTTTTTCTCTATAAAAACTGTGCCTGTTGGCTCCTGGCACGGGGACAGTTCAGGTATGCCGCCGGGATGATTTACTTAATAATAAAGCCGCGCTGATTCATGAATAATTAGTTAAATCAAATATTTTGCACTCGGCCTAATGAGAGAATTACACGGAAATAGCTGACACTTGGGAAATGTGATTCACATAGTATATATGCATAGCCTTTTACTCCTATAGTAAAAGGCTAATTAGCGCCTATTTGTTTTTATTTGCGAGTAATGCACTTCGCGACAATGCAAATAAACACAATGAACTATACTTAGTTTCCACAAAAAAAAAGCCCATATTTGGCAATGCAGTTAAGATCTCTTAGCGAAACTAGATGCCAGACTAAATTTAACTATATCTAGCTGTTGACTCATTCGCAGGGCTCCGAGCAGCGCCTACCGCAACAAAATATATAATCAACCACAAATTAGGAGCTCATAAATGCCAAGCTTATGGATCATCTCTCGCTGGGTTTGACGTCATATGAAACACCCCCTAAACGCCGCCTGGGCGGAAATGTTGTATGCATTCGTTTCGGGGTGCTAATCGAATGGAAAGATGCGCAACGAAACTGGAATTAGTGCTTCTGCTGGAGCGTTGTCTGTCTGCCATATTAATTAGCGCATAGTGTGAAGTGTGAGTTGATGTATAAAACGGGCGGTACGCCTACTGAAACGGCACAGAACCTCAAGGAACTACAACAGTAGCACATCAACAGCAGCAACAGCAACAAATCCGCCAGTTAAAAGAATTCTCCAATTGAATAATTCTTAAAGATATTCTCCTACACCCACACACACACACAACATGAACTACACCTGGGCATTCGCTCTCATCCTGGCCACATTGTGCCTGTCCCAGGCAGCGCCCCTCAACAATCCCTACCAGGCCATCAGCTCGCCCAGCGACATTAGCGGACAACCAGTGCGCACAAAACGCGGCAGCTATCAAAATGATTATTACATCTGCTATCCCAGCAGCGTTGTCTATGGCTACCATCACAACAATCCCAGTTCCCCGGACGGACATCGTCGCTCCGATGCGCCGGAGCAACGTTTCCTCGCCTACGACTCCTACGAGGCGCGTACAAATCGTGCGGATAGGGAACGCGCTGCCTACACAGACAGCTTTGGCAAATAATTTACGGATTTCGAAGACTCTCTCAACTCAAACTGGACGTAATACATGGAGTATATATTTTAGTTAAGGCATTCGCACAGGTGTAGCTGTACATAGTATTTATTTATACTAATTATTTATTGTCTTTTATAATATATGTTAGTAACAAAGAAATGAAAATTAAACAACAATTAAACCGAATTAAACAGAATTAAATGAAGATAAAGATCAAGAATATTATACAATGCCTTTTCTATGCTCTTTTTACGGACACTTTTGAAAACGAGATTTATCTCTGCGTGTCATAATCCCTAAAGTGAGACCAATGTATTCATAAGTGCATAAAGTTCCCAATCCAGACTCCTAATAGCACAGTAGATTGCGAGGATCTCATCCAATCGATCTTTCATATCGATTTATATAATCACCCTAACTTTATTGATTTTATATTAAACTTAACATTAGACTAATTAGAGTTACATAACATAACTAAAATAAAAAACTAGCCCAGACAGATGTAAAACAAAAATATTTTTTTAATCTCAAAGCCTTCAATTGTTAGGTCTTTACAAGCCTTCGAATGATTTATGATCGATCAGCTTCATTAAATGTATTGACATTTATATATTAAAAAAATATACATATGTGCATTAAGCTTAAAATTCGACCAAGCTGTGCATAGTCCATTAATTTTTCAGAATATTTTCGAGTCTGCATGCGAAACAAAAACAAGTTTGTTGCCTAAGTCTTTCGTTTTCCAACGCAATCAATATGTGTGTTTACAAGCTTTAAAATATAACTCAACTCAAATGATGTAATTTAACTAGAACCTTTGCCAATCATGAGTCAATTGACAATTAAATTTGCCAGCATACTTTCAGGCATGCATGCGATAAATCAAAACAAGTTCGTTGCCTGAGTCTTTCGTTTTACAAAGCAATCAACAGATTAAAAACTACGCTCGCATTTCACTTTGTTCAACTCACCACGGCGCTGATTTGTGACGAAAATAAAATAAAAACCAATTTTCTGCCCAGCCGCCGTCTGAGACATTTAGCACCTTATTTGCGGTTGGCATTAGGCAAAATGTGCGAATTGTTTATAAGCAGATTACAAAACCCAGAAACTGAGCGCGACTTCAAATTTTTTAGTTTTTTGTAAAAAAAAATTTTTTTTTTTTGCTACTGTCATAAAAACGTAAAAACTCACTTTGGCCAAATTTTTATGAGCCAAAAAGAAAACCAATTGCAATATAGAAAGTTTCCGCCAGCCTCGCATAAAAGCCGACTCCAGCGTGCCGGAAACAAACAGTTCACCAAGACCAGAGTTAGCACAATGAAGTCTATCGCCCATAAGTCATCCTTACTGCTGCTGATCGCCGTGCTGTTGCTGAGCAGCTGTCAGGCGCAGCCCGTGAATGCCGAGGCACGTGAACAGCGACAGCTGAAGTCTAGCCCGGCAGCTGCTGCGGAGGCGGATGTCAAGATGCTGGCAGCGAGCACGGCCAATATGACGCCTGCTTCCATGCCCATGGCCGGCATGATGGCCATGAGTCCCATGGCACTGGGCGGAGGCATCAACATGCAGCTGGCACAGTATCCCGGCTATCAGGCCGGCATGATGCCATTCCTGGGCCTAAGCGGACTGGCTGGAACTGGTCTGCAGACGAGCATTGCCAGCGGCTATCCGGGCGAACCAGGCATGGGCTTCGGTCTGGGCGCAGGCGCTGGCACCAACCCTGGCTTCGGACTAGGCGCGCCCACAGCTGGCTTCGGCCTGGGCGCATCCACAGCTGGCTTCGGCCTGGGCGCACCCACAGCTGGCTTCATGTACGGCAATCCCTTGTACGCAAATCCCCAACTGGGCGCCGGCTTTGGCCCACAGCCCACGCTGGACAACTTTGCGGCGCTGAACAACATCATCAATATGCAGGCCGGAGGACTATATGGTCAGGTGGCTGCCGGGCCACTGCCCAGCTACTTTGGAGGCATGGCCGCAGGCGTCGATGGAGGCAACGGGCTGCTGGAGCGTATGAAATTGCGCAGCTATGCGCCCGGCTTCTAATTTATTTCCAACAATTTGCATAAATTATTTATTTTATTTATTTAGCTAAATATATATTGCACGAACATTAATTGTACTTTTTGCCGCCCATTGTGGCCCACTGGAAGAGCTTCATGCGCTGTTGCTGCTGTTGTTGTTGCTGTTGTTGTTGCTGCAGTTGTTGTTGTTGTTGCAACAACGGCTGCTGCCACTTGGGCGGCGTCGCCGCCCGCTTGGCAGACAGCGTATAGGCACCTTTGCCTACGAAACGCGTGGGCAATGCCCCGAGCCGCATATTGTAGCTGGGTGGAAGGCGCAGACGCGCCTGTTGCGCCACGGCACTGGCCAGGATGAGGCACAGCCAGACCAGCAGCAGCAGCGGCGAAAATTTGTGGCACATCTTGTCTAGAACTTCGGTCGCGTACTGTGGGCACAACTCTGGCCAGCTGCTGCTTTTATGCAACCGTTCGCTGTGCCACTTTTGCCGCGTCGTGCCACACATGCCACACAGTTGTTGCTGCTGCTGCAACGGGGCTGTGTGTCAATTGCTGTTAGTCGAAAGTGGGCTAACTGGGACTTGGGATTTGGCCACTGCCACAGCCCCCGCTGCCCTCGTGCTGCCGTTAACTGGTTTCTCTACTTGCGCATATTTCACAGTCTTCCGAAAAGGCCACACTCGCTAATTGCACTGCCAATCGGAGTCGGACTCGCTGTCGGAGTCGGTGTCAAGTGCAAGGCAGCGGCGACTCGAATCGGTTAAGTCGTGTCTTCAAGCTCAAGTGTTGACCAGCTAACCCGAAAGAGTTGTGCACACACAAACACACATTATACCTATGTCAACTGTAAAGGCAGCAATTTGTTAGTCACTTGGCAATTGGCTCGAGTACCTCGTTTAGAAAGTGAAATTTAGGATCCCATTGTTCGTCGACTTACAATGACACATGTTGTTTTACACGGAAACATTAGCGCGCAACAAAAACATAAAGCGACCCATTGCGAAATTCAATGGGTCTCAATATAGCGTATAGATAAGATAGGCACGGATAAGAATTGTGCGCTGAACTACCTGAGCTCGAGTTTAGGTAGGGTATGTATGTGCTTAAAGGGTAGACGCGGCCACAACGTGGAAAACTTCTTTAAGAATGTGTTTAAAGGCATTCGATTGAAATAAATGCATATTTGACCAGCTTAACGGGAAATTTTCAGATGCCTTTATCAGCTGTACAGGGTATTGTAATTTTGTCTTAAAATGTGTTACTCCATGAACTGTATGAATCCTCAATCAGTATCAATAACTAATATATCATGCAGTTGTCATGAGTCATTAGGTCTATGAGCGTTGTACCGTCAAGCATGAAGTCGCTGGTTCAACTGCCATTTATTGATTTTATTGAGGGGACGCGCGAGGGCGCGTAATTCAAGTTTCTTGTAAAGAGTTTAAGTTCCTCATCACAATTAAAGAGGCCGTTGCTGCTTCCACGTATTTTTAATCTAGCTATGAAAATATGTAGGGTATGCGAATGCTGAGCATTGAACTACCAAGCGTGAAGTCACTAGTTCAACTATAACAAGTTTCAACTGGGAAACGCCGCGTAATTTTTCTAGTTTCTTGAAATTGAATACGATATCAGATTGTCTTATACTTATGATTGATAACACTTTTGTTGTTGTATGTCTTTTGAATTGAAAAGAATTGAAAACTGAAACACACAATTTTTGTTGTTGACCTGCGCAACATTTTTAACTTAAACACGACTGCGTGTGTGTGTGTGTGTGAGTGTAAATGCTTGTGCGAGGCAGGTATGGCACAGCTAATCTGTAAATGCTCTTAAAGCCATGTGAAGCATGCAAAAGGTTTTTGGTCTATTTGTAGAAGATATTGTTGCATTTGCCCAGAGCTGAGCTGTGAGGGTAATCCAGAGCCCCGAGCAGGCCATATAAGACGCGAAGCAGGGCAGGCCATGTGCAACAGTTTCTAGTTTAGACGCGAGGCAAGTGGGACACACATCGCAATGCGCTGCGCATTTGGTGGAATTATTTACACATCGGCAACTTGCAGCTATTTGTGGCTATTGCTATTGCTGCTGCCGCTGCTGCAACAGAGCGAGGCAATGCCCTGGTGGCGCCACAACAACAACGACGCCAACTACGATGCCAGCCTGGATCCGCTGGTCTGGTCGCGCGCCTTTGTCCAGGACACGGTGCGCAGGCCACGCATCAGCCAGCTGGAGGCCACCGAGGTACCACAGCTGGACAAGCACAGGCGGCGCTGGTGGAGTGACAACAAGTTCCACAACAACAACAACAAAAAGAAGAAGAAGAGCAACAAGCAGTATGTGCGCAGACATCGCAAGCGTCTGCTGCTGCGCCAAACTAGATGTTAAGCAAATCAACTGCCAATTAGCACAATAAAACATTGCGACAGTCTACAAAAAATGCACAAAAAACGAATCGTGTTAAAACTAGCTTTGTTTCTTAAACGCGCCACCAACTGAGGAACTACAGCTCCAACAGGGGGCGGGAGCAGGTAATAACACGCCCAAACAAGTTCTAAAATTGCAACAAACATATCTCCTCTCTACTTGCCCGTCCTACTGCCGAGTTTCGTATCCAACTAACCGACTTAGCCAAAGAGCTTTATGACATCTCCCATATATATATATAACTATTTGCTGCTCATAAGATTTTTCTTAGATGTAAATAGCATAAATAAATGGACCTGGTTTATTTACCAAATCGATAGTCAAACAGAAGACGTCTGTTGCTAAGGTCAATTGGATTACGTTTCAAGTCCACATCTGGACACGAGCAGGCGGTAAAGACAACCGCAAACATGATGTAACCGGCAGCTAAAGACCTAAGCAAACTCCAGACCCAGCCAGAGCCAGAAGCTAACCCAACCCAAACGAACTTTGGTTCAAAATGAAGATAAAGCTAGGACTTACCGACTGCGAGATGCGCTGTTTTCAGTGTTAAACAACAGCGTAAATAGTGTTTCTTATTATAATCAGTTGAAGTTCAGGAAATACAAGCCTTATACAACATTTAAAGTCCAATTTTTCTGCAAAGAAAATTATTGAATTTATGATTATAAGAATAACATAAAAATTTAGTATAAAGACAATTGTATTCGAAAATTAAATGTTTCAGTTTTCAATAAACATGTATTTTTTTAAAATAATTATAATTTTATGATAAATGGGAAAAGTCGAAGTAAAAAATTTGAATATCGGAACTTGTTTCAGCAAGCTTAAAATTGTCTTATAATTTCATTTGTAAATTCAAATTGAATTAAGAAAATTTGTCGAATTTGTTACACTCACCTTATAATTTGTATATATTTTGGATTGGGTAGCGCCCAATTTTGTTCAGTGTACAATCGAGGATGACACACACTCGATATACTTGCTTCGCGCGGTTGGAGAACAGCGCATAATCAGTCAAAAAATCAATGAATGAAAGCATATTTTTGGTATGAAAAACAACAACAAGTAAATGTTGCAAATTGTGGACACACGCAATTAGCAGCTACACGCACGAGCCGCGCCCAGAGCAGAAGAAGCTGGTCAGAAGCAATGTGTCCCTCTATATATAGGCATGAATCTCTCGCATTTGCAGATCAAGTACAAATCGGCCAACAGCTTAACTAAAACCAAAACTAACCAAAAAAAAAAATGAAATTTCCCGTGCTGAGTCTTCTTCTCCTGCTGCTGGCCCTGAGCAGCAGCTGGGCAGCGCCTGTGGAGCCCCTGAGTCTGCTGGATGTGGATTTGGACTTGAAGCAGCAGCCGTTGCCGGAGGCGGAGAGCGTGCGTGTGGCACGCGGCCTGGGATTGGGCGGCTTTGGTGGCGGCCTGGGCGGCAAGTTTGGCGGCTTCGGTAGCTTGGGACTGGGCCATGGCTTTGGCGGACACGGCTTTGGCGGCGGCTTTGGCGGACATGGCTTTGGAGGCGGCCTAGGCGGCTTCAAGGGACTTTTCAACAAACATTTCTAATGCCTAGGCTTAAATTTATATTTTTATTTCTCGCAAACAAATTCTAGTATTAATTGAAAAACTCAAAAGTTTTGTGTTTGATAAATGGGATTCAAAGCGCCGTAAAACTGCAGCTCGGCATCCGACTCGATTGCAGGTGTAGTGCTGCGTAGATGTGGGCGTGGCCGTTTGGTGGTGCTGCGCCAGTGACCTATGACCTCACGCACCTGACCCACAAGGCCGCGCCACAAACTCAGCGAAGGCTTGTGCGCTGAAAAGTGTTGGGAAATGGGCTTTATTTAGCTGAAAAGTTAACTGTGCAACTTTAAGGCCTACCCGGAGCTGGTGGCGCCACCAGAGCATCGTACTCCAGCTCATCCAAGGCAGAGACAAGGCCACACAGCAGCAGCAATAGGCAAATCACGCGCAACATTTTAAGCCCAAATCAAAACTGAGCCAAGTCTAACTCATTTATAAGCACAACTCTTCGATGGCACTTGACCACTTTCCCATCATAAAACGCGGGCACTCCTTGGCCCAATGATGCATAACAAGTGAGCACTTGGACAGTGAGAACGACCAGGAGCTACCCTGTAGCCAGTCTAACATATCAGCAAATTGTATCTGCTTAAAAATCCTCGAGTCATGCTTAAAAAGCCGCAGCTTCAGGCCGATAGTTATCGATTTTGGGCAAGTGTGGTTATCGATCACTTATCGATCAAACGAGAAATTGTCTTTAATCTTTAGCACAGACCTATTTATTTATTTATCGATATATATATAATATATATACACTTGATGGACTCTGAGATGGGTGCTATTGGCCAGTGAGATCGACTAGGAGTTACCCAATAGCCCACATACTCTGTAGGTACATCTACTCTATGCGACTAGCTCATACATTCTTTGAGTAATGCTTAAAAGTGCGCAGTTCAAAGCCGATAATTATTGATTTTGGGCAAGTGAGCTTATCGATCAGTTACCGATAAGTTATCGATCAAGTATCGATTATACAAGAAGTTGTTTGTTAAGTTATACATATTTATTTATATGCATATAATATACATTTAATGTGCCTGTTACATAAATTTGCACAAATTCAAACTCCTTTTAGCCACCTTCTTACACGTACAGGGTATAAAAACTCACATCAATTGCTCAAACAAACATAAAATCACACATTTATTGCTGTGCCGCACAATGGGAATATCACAAATTGAAATCAACTGCCAAACGAAATGGCAAAAACTTTAACCATAGTAGCCGCCGCCGAAGCCACCAAAACCGCCACCAAAACCACCATAGCCGCCACGGACACGGGTGCGCGTGACAATCCGCGTGCGCTGATAGCCGCCGCCAAAGCCGTAGCCGCCGTAGCCACCGTAGCCGCCGCCAAAGCCACCAAAGTAGGGCGGCGGCGGTGGTCCAAAGAAGGGCGGCGGAGGGACACCAAAGTACTGACGCACCTTGCGCGCGCCCTGCTCCGCAGGAGCAGCCGCAATAGAGCTCGCATCCACATCCCCCAGCGCATTGTCTCCGGCAGCCAGCAGCTCCGCGGGCAGCGCCTTTGACTCCTCCAGCTCGTGCTGCTCCGGCTCCGCACCGCCGAGCACCACACAGATGCAGAGCATTAGACAAATCTTTGAGTATTCCATTCTATTCACAGCCAGAACCGAATAAAAGTGCGCTGTCAGCGGCGCTTTAATTTATAGCCAAATACTTGGCGGCTTAAAGCTATTGAAAGCGGGGGTTCAATGGCATTTTTGGATTGTCATTGAAAGGTTTTTTTATATTTCTTCTTTTTTACACAATTATTTTGCCGCACCACAAATGCCAAAACTAATTATTGTTGAGAGCAAAAAGCGAGTGCTTAAGTTGTTTACTTGAAATTGAACCAATCTTCGGTCGAGCACAAAGTGCTGTTGATGGATGCGGAAGTCTGTGCGAACGTGCACAGTGGAATGGAGACCTAGAACAGCAATTAAAACAGCTAAATCCAATGTTGAAAATAGCTAAATATAGCTACAATATTTTTCTGAGCAAATCAGCAAATAGAGATGCTCAAAAAAAGACTAAATGGGTTTATAAATTACTTAGCTAGAAAAAAGCTGAATTGACAATAACTATCTATAGATAATATTCTTTTAGTAAGTTAGAAGTAGCTCAATTAATTTTCTCAACAGAAACTAGCAAGGAACAAATAGGAGATGCCCAAGAAAACAGCTAAAGGGATCTATAATTTTAGCTGCTTCCAGCTGATTATCTTTGGGCATGGCTAGAAAGCAGCTGAAACGCAACAATTATCTATAGATAACCATCATTTAGTTAGTTAATCATCCCATACACCCGCATATGTATCTTTAATCTCCTAATTTCAAACAGATTCTTCTCGAATACGCTCATATTCCACGCGCCAATTCACTCTTAAATGAAATTGGAAACTGGCGTCTACTCTAATTGAAATTCACGGCTCGCTCTAAGTACAGCTGCCGCTGATCTTTTCATAAAAAAAAGCACTTGGAGACTGCACATTAAAGAGCAGCTATTTGTTGTTTATTTTTATTTAGCTTGAGCTATGACAACATAAGCAAACAAATAGCGCACAAAATGTAAAACGAAGCTGGGACAAAGGCAAACGCTCAGCTCTAAAGAAACTGCAGCATCATCAAGTCAAGACACACACACACACATATATATGTACATACTTATTTACTTATACACAGATATTTATTCACAATTCGAAACACTTTTGTTGATTCTTGGTTTAGACTTGAGTTTTTATTCAGCCCAAAAAGCCGCCGCCAAAGCCGAATCCTTTGAGCTTGGCGAAACCAATGCCGCCGCCAACAAAGCTTCCACCACCGAGACCTCCTCCGTAGCCACCTCCGTAGCCACCTCCGTAGCCACCTCCGTAGCCTCCTCCGTAGCCTCCTCCGTAGCCCCCTCCATAGCCAAAGCTGGGAATCGTTTGGACTGTCGAAATGGTTGAGACCACAGGCACCGTGGTGATAACAGGCACCGTGCTTATAACGGGCACCGTTTGTATGGCAGGTGCCGCAACGTAGCCACCGCCGCCGCCCACAATGCCGCTGCCCACAAAACCACCGCCCACTATGCCGCCGCCGATGCCGCCAATGTGGCGCGTCTTGCGCACAAGTTCAATGGGCGTGGCCGCCAACAACACAACGAGAAGTGCCAAGATCAGCATGTAAACCTTTTGTCGTCGCATCTTGGGCTCAACTACTGAACTAGCCCCAACCCAAGTCGGGTTATTTATGCAAATTAATTAGTGGGCCACGTTTGTTTGGGGCTCAGCCTTAGCTTTGGCCTGTTTGCGCTAACAATTCACAAATCGTAGGACGCCAAAATTCCCCAAGTCCATGTACGTGGACAACTCGAAATGTGTTTCCCATCTTACACTGAGAGCAATCTCGTATTAAGTTTACCCGTAAAGAAATATAAAAGCTAATAAATGGGAACAGTTTAAGACTTTAAATATAGTAAGACCAGCGGGTGTTACCCGGCTTTGCCCGTGGCCCGTTTAAAATAAACTCGCTCAAACGGTAAACAATAAACTGTCATACAAGCGTTTTCCGCTCATTTTCCACTGTTGCGGGTGGAATTGCCCAAAGTGCAAATGCATCATCCATATATAAAGTAACTAAAGTGAACATTTCAGCTTCCTAGTTTGGGTTTGGTCAATCAGTCAGTCCGTCAGTTTTATATATAGAACTTAACAAATTGGAATATTTTCCTCAGTGTACAGTTCACACCTGATCAGCTATCACAACTGAGTGAAGGTCAGCCCCGGCCACGTGCATGGCGACGCCTTGGTTAATGCGTGTACAAACACAGCATAGATGGCGGGATTTTTGGAGATCTGCTGCATGACGCACCGCACCTCACCGAGCAGCATAAAAACGCGAAGGCCTACGCCGCCGGCGTCAGACAACGTGCTCAACTCGACCTGGTCAAGATGAGTTGCTATCTTCAAGTGCTGCTGATCTGTGCTGCTGCGCTGGCAGCCAGCGGCCTGGACATTGGTCTGCAGCAGGTGCCGGTGGTGCAACAGGTGCCAATTGTACAGCAGGTGCCCATCATACAACAGCAGCCGCAGGCGCTGGGCCTGGCCGCACTGGGCGGCGGCGGCGGTGTCGCTGGTTTTGGCGGCGGCTTTGGAGGCGGCTTTGGCAGCTATCGCGAGAGTTATCGCATCAGGGGGCGTGCCTTTGGTGGAGGCGGCTTTAAAGGTGGCCTGGGTCATGGCCTGGGCGGCGGCGTCGGAGGCTTTGGCGGCGGTGGCTTTCGCGCACGCTACGACAAGAAGGTGGTCGGTGGCTTTGGCGGTGCCGGTGTACTGGGTGGTGCGGGCGGCGGTGCGCTGCTTGGTTAAAATTGAAGTGTTAAGGTCTATGTTAAATAAAGCCAAAGCGTAATGGGACACCCTGTAGTTTTGATTGTGCGGAGTGTTATATATATGCGTTTATAAAAATATTAAATATTATTATAAATAAAACATTTGAAAAATAATTGTGTTTAGCAAATATACCGAAGCGTAAGAAGACACCCTGTATTTATGATTGTACTCGCGCGTTTTGCTGACATGCGCACTTTCCACCCTGCTCGGGCGCTGCTGCGGCTGTTAATGGTGGTTGTGTCTGTGTGCGTGTGCGCGTGTGTGTGTGTGTGTGTGTGTGTGTCTGTGAGTGCTTTTTTTCTGAATGGGGCAGCCAGACAGTTAGCCCAGGCGACTTGGCCACAGTTCGAGTCAGTCGCTCGCTGCAGTCGCTCGTCGTGAACATTGACAGCGCGCTCTCGCTCTCTCTCTTCTGTCTCACACACACACACACAATCTCTCGCTCGCTCGCCACGCGCTGCCGCCGCCGCTTTTAGTTTAGTTGCACGAGCTGCAGCCGCACTTGCAGCACGCCACACGGCAGGTGAAGCTCAGGTTCAATAACAAATCAAATTCAACCGAAATCCTTGTGGAGCTTACTAAAAATAGCAACAAAAACTGAGCTACAAATTTGACACATATATTCACACACGCACACACACACACACTTATATATATAGCGCGTGTGTGGTTGTCTGTGTGTGCGCCAAGTGGAAAACTGTTTAAAAATAAAACAAACGACAAACGGCAGAAGCTGCAAAAAGTTGTGTCAACTTTGTCGCCGAGCAAAGAAAACTAAATAAAAAACATTAGGCATATGCAACATAACCATAAACACAACAACACAGCAAGAAAAACAACAACAAGAACAACAACAGCCACTGCGCGTATATTTTCCATTTGATCTCAGGTAAGCTGCTGCGCGCAGTTTTACTTTCAATGTTAATTCAAATCCCAAATGAAAATTTTTCGAATATGTTGTTGCGCTCTCTTACATTCACACACACACGCGCTCTCTTATATTCGCTCACTCTCTCGCGCTGCGCTGCTGACAGTGTTGCCAGATCTCGCGAACTTCCTTTACAATAGTAACTAGTTCTTGTGAACTGCAGGCGATCTAATCTGTGATATATTTAATTTTGTGATTTTTCAACCCCCCTGTCTGGGCTACCCTACCTATCGCTCGCTCTCCCCCATAATGTGTTACCTGTCTTGTCCTATGGACTTCCTTTCTGCGCCCATTGACACGTATCGTTATGCACATCAACAACAAGCACATGCATATACATATAAGAAGGCAAACACGCACTTCGCATGGTCTCAAGTCCTCATGCAATTAGCATAATTGCGGCTCAACACACAAACACACATGCACATATGTATTTAGTGTTATCATATGACAAGTTGATAGACAGCGTCGTTTCACAACACTTGAAAAACATAACGTAAGAGACGATATTCCTGCAGCTCTTAACTTTTATAGTAGCAAAGAGTTGAGCTGCATCTCCGATTTCTATATAGAGAAAGACTATATAAGACCAATGGAACTTTGAATTTGTTGACTGATTTGTATAGTTAGTTCAATAATATTGCTCTAGTTCAAGTATCGATTACTAAATAACTTAACTATTATAGTAGAAACAAACTTTGAGCTGTTACTTAGATTTCTAGACCCTGACTGATTTGTATACTTAATTCAAGAACATAAATACTTATTTCAAGAATAGATGTAGTTCAATAACTTTGCACTTGTTTAAAGTAATGCTGAGTGGTTTGCATACTAAATTCAAGCTAAACTCCCTTATTGTTCAAATTTCGGATTAATTCGTATTCCGTCTTTTTTCAATCGTATTTGTTGTCAATCTAAGATTTTTGAGGGGTTTGTTTATCTACTACCACATCATCGATATTATTTTAAGACATTGAACTGAGTTCCATATTATTGTCATTTCTATCATGAAATGTTACGTTCCAATTGGAACAGTCGTTTAGCTAACAGTTTACATGCTTGCACCCAATAAGAATAATGGATAACCACCCGCCCGCCCAGCCACCCACGCTGCTGACGTCGTTGCATTGTAGCCCTGACAGAGAGTCAGCTGTAGTATGTTGTTTTGGGCCACCTTTGACATATTGTGTGTACACACAAGTATATAGTTCAAGGTCATTTAAAGATACGAGTGCCCTTATCCAGCTGAGCAGCTCGGCAGCTGGAACAGCGATAAGCTGTCCCTCAACTGTGTCCACTCGGAAGGGCTGCCCACTGTCAAGGGCAAAAACCAAAAACAAAATACAAAATACAAAGCATAACAAGCGCAGATAATTGATTAGTTTTATTCGTGCCGCGAATTCGTATTCCTCAAAAGTTGGAGCATGCGAATGTCATTTAAGGTTCATCAACATGGCAACAGCTATTTATGACACCTGAAGCCAATCCTTGGCAGCCTGAGCCTGGGCCACAAATATGTACAAAAAATTATAAACACGTTCGTTTTTCACTACTTTAGCAGGGAAAAGCCTGCAACTCATGAAACTATCGCCCTTTTTAACACCCCAAAGGGATCTGCGAGTAACTTGTACAAATATCTATAAGAATTTATGAACACATTCTTTTTTCACTGCATTAGCAGGGCAAAAAGCTGCAGCTCATCAAACTATTGCTGTTTGAAGTATCCCAAATGGATCTGATGCCAACTTGTGTCAAATTTATACGGAATATATGAACACATTCTTTTTTCAGTACATAAGCAGTACAAAAGCCAGCAGCTCATGAAACTATCTCCTCCTTAACACCTGCGAGTAACCTGTACTCATGAATAGCTGAATAAGCGTTGCTTTTATCAATATTATGTCAAGTATTTTGGTGTGTAAAAAACTAAGCACTCTTTGCCAGCAATACAGTCCAGCTGGGCAGCTGGGCAGCCAGTCGACAGGTCAGGTCCTTGGTCATTTGGCCGTAAAGTGTTAACGAGTGGCAGCTAACAATAGGTAAAGGGTTTAGGCCCCATTATGGACACAAAGTGTTAGTGAACTCTTGGGCCGGACAGCTTGCAGCTGTCCAGGCGCAGAACTTGTTTTCCAGCTGGCTGGACAAAGAAGAAAGTAGAAAGGACAAAGGACGTGCAACAGGAAGGAAGCGCAGCCATTGAACATTTAATGTATGCAGTGCAGTCGGCTGCAATTTTTGTTTGTTGTTCAGTTTCCAGTTCTTGGGCTAATTTATGGGACTGTCACTTAAACGAGGACGGCGCCAGCTTTCGATTCAAAAAAAAAAAAACAGACTAAGCCCAGTCACAATGAAAGTGGCCATAAATTTGCGGCATGTTGGAGACAACCCCGCCCCATAAATCAGCGGCAAGTGGAGCGCAGCCCAGTTGGAACTGGCTTAATGGCAGCTAATTGCATTTGCGACATTTGCCACAGGCAAAAGAAGCTCTTACACAGTCCAGACTGGGGTTTGGCTTCTTGTGCGCCAGTCAGACGCCAGCTGAAGCTAAATTGCGTCTAACAAAAGCACGCATTACACATACGACCCGTTGCCAAATTCTTTGTCTGACTTGGGAGGCAGCTCCAAGGAGAAGGGAAGTTGCTTTGTCCTCTTTGGCCTCCTTTGCCAGCTGTGGAAAATTGACTCTCAGCACGCATCAACTTGGATATTGTTCTGTTTATGACCAAATTTACATAAGTTTCTTTCAAATTGAGTATCGATTTTGGTTATTTAAAAGATATTGGGGTTCGGCTTATTAAGTTCGTGAATTGTTCAGTTGCTTATTCGAACTGCTTCTGTTCAATGACAGCTTCTTCTGTCTGCTGACAACTTACAAAAAAGATACTCTTCTCTTTTTTGTGGATCTACTTGTGATATTTTCCTAAGTTATAGTAAGAGGCATTCAAATAAACTATTTAGCCCAAGGAACTGACAATAATGTAACCAAATTCATAAATAAAATACAAGTTTTCTTTGTGCCCAGCTCTACAGATTCTTGTTAATTAACTGAAATATTTTTATATTTCTTAATCATTAGGAACTCTTTTGCTGGCGCCCGAGCAGGGATTTATTGCTAGCGCCCGAGCAGGGACTATTCAGCAAAAAGGTCCCTGCTCGGGCGCCAATATATTTTTCTAACACTCATCTATTTCGACTTTTACAGATATAAAGTGCCAAAGGAGTCGAAGGGAACAAGTGTAGCTGCGAGTGTGTGCGTGTTTATAGCATGCTAGCTGCAGTTATGGCATCAGACATTAATTGGGATCCAGGTAAGTGCCGCCCACATGCCGCCTCTTTGCCCTCGTTAAGACATTCGTTTGCAGCGCTTTCAAGGTTGATAACCACGTTAAAGGAATCGGACAATTTGTCCAATGATCAGGAGATAGACTTTCTGAAGGCCCTGCTGGAGTCGAAGGAGCTGAATGCTTTGGTCAATGTGCACACAAAGGTGGCCAAGGTGGGCCGCGATGAGCGTCTCGCGCCCGTGCTGTCCACCTCGGCCCAGGTGCTGTACGAGGTGCTCGAGCAGCTGTCGCAGCGTTGTCATCTAAGCGACGACTGCAAGGAGGCATTTCATCTGCTGCAGGACTCCCACGTGCAGGTGAGCAAAGGTGGTAGCGGAAATGAGAATGGAAATGTAATTAAATGGAATCCGTCTTTCGCAGCACCTGCTATTGCACACGATGCCATTGCGCAGAAGGACTTCTATCCGCATCTGCCGGAGGTGCCCATCGAAATGGACGAGGACGAGGAGACCATCAAGATTGTGCAGCTCGTGAAGAGCAACGAGCCACTGGTGAGTTTAAGCCTGGACTCCAAACGCTTTCAACTCATGTCCATTTGTGTCATTTGTCATTTGCATCGATCGATATCGCGTCTATATAAAGTGATATAACTGTCTCAACTCAGGCGTTCATTTCTCATTATTGTGCCCCACATTTTACCCACATATCACGAGTCTCTCTCTCTCTCTCTCTCATTCTCAATGTCCTCTGCTTTTGTGTCTCTG